TAGTGTAAAAAAATTATATTTACAGTCTCGCAGCGATATATAATAATAAAGTGAGGACAAAACAAATATTAAAAAAATACAAACTCTTTTATATTTTAAATAAAAGGTAAATTTTCTTATTTCTAATGAAATATAGTACGTTTCCGTTACACTCAACAAAAGTAGGTGTTTCCCTCAGAGTATATTATCCCTTGCATGCTTAATTGTTGATCAAGGCAGGAAAGGGTGGGAAGTTAAAAAAGGACATGGAGGGGAATGTTCACCCTGTGGTTTTGCATTTGAGCGCACGTGTCTGTGGTTTCGGTTACGCCACACTATCTTGTATACTATATATATGCCGATAATACAACAAGAAATAGTGATCGTTTTCCTCAACGATTATCGCTGCCTAGTTATATGCCTTTATGTGGGTTTCTATATAGCGTGTCTAATTGATAGATATTCGGCCTTTTTGGTGGCGGTATTCTTTGATAATTTTGCACACGTAAGCAATTTTCTAAACTAAATGTGAAATCAAATATATATAAATGAAATGGATCAATTTTAATACAGAAAAAAAGAGGCATATCATTGTTTTCAATATATTCTTTTTCCATTCAATTTTGCAACATTGTTCTTTATGTATGCCTTTTCTCTAATATACAGAAGACGATATTAACTACTTTTATATTTTGTTATGAGTGATGTTCTTTTCTGATTCTTTGAAATATTATTGAGACTAATAAGCAGCATTATATATATAAAAGAAGAATTACTCTCATGAGCCATTAGCCTTTTTTGAAAAAAAAAAATTACTTTAAGTATGAAAAGAAGAAATAAAAAATTAGTTCATTTTCATTACGACTTGTTGATAAGTAAATACTTGTAAAATTTATTAGAAAATCTTTTTTTCTATAAATAATAATAATTAATTTCTTTTCATCCGTATTATTAATTCCTAATACCGTATATTTAAAAAAAAATTGACACGTTACAAACAAGGCATGTTTATAAATATTCAAATTGTTAATAACCAATTTCATCAAATTATTCTCGAAGAGTGATAATTAAAAGTAATTTTCGGCGAGAATGAGAATGTAAATTATAATTCTTTAAGCGCGGGGAACAATTAAAAAAGTCTTTCATTCTCCTTTGAGCTCAATTATTTGACTCTCGCGCGATCGAAACGTGAGCGTTCGATGTCTATTATAAAATCGAGGCTAGAGAGAAGAAGAGATGCGTGTATCTCTACAACAACAAGAAAAATTACACGGTACGGATCCCGAAAATGGCGCCCCACATTCTGACGCTTGCCGAATTTTTGAACCGCTTGACCCTTCGGTTCCCAATAATTATCCACTTAAATTGAGAGTCGTGTGAGTGCAGCAATTATATATTATATGTGGGGGTGTGAGGGTTAATTTGATAATTGCATTATTCCGTTGCAACTAAATACTACCTTTCTGCAAATGCAAATCCCGCTATATATATATATATATTCGGCGCGAAAATGATGGGGGTGACCAAGGGGTGTAGGAGAAGGGGAGGAATAAAAGTTTCGGAAGAATGTGCGACGATTAACCCGATCTTTTTTTCTGATCAGGAGAGATGGGTGCACCCGCGCGCTTTTAACTCCAAAGAAGAATGCAGAGAGATCCCAAAAATGCTTCCTATACACCTGCACATAAGCGATGAGAAGAGACATATTGGAATATATGTACAGAAAAAAAAGGAGAGAAAGAGAGGGATGAGATACTTTCTCAGATTCTATAGACACTATAAATCTGACGGGAATTCGTGCTTCGCAGCTACTTCAGAGACTTCTGAAGAAAACCCATAAACGATTCATGTAAACACGCATCGATATTTTGAATTTCTTTTTCTATTGTTATTTTCATATTATTCGGAAAGTTTTGTTAAATAATAAAAGGAAAGAAATTTTCTGCTTGCAACATATTTCAAAAGATAACATGAATCTTGTCAGATTTAAAATGGAAATTTTACATTAAGATAAATTTGAAATTAATTTAGTATTGAAAAATAAGGGCCAGTTCTAAAATTTACAAAAAGGAAATTATTTTTAAGAGAATTTTTAATTTTTAATTATTATTAAATAATTAAAGAAAATTAATTTCATAAAAATTTGAAAGATTCAGAGTTAAAATTTTCAAAATAAATTATTTTGTACAAAAATTTTTTGTATTATTATTGTTATTTCATTTTTTATAGTTTTCGTTTAAAATTGAAGAACAATTGTGATATTTTTACAGTGAAAATAAAACTCCTTTTCCCTCTTAAAATAAAAGAACCTATATTTATCAGATTTTTATTTAGCCTAATTTTTACTGAAATCGTAATTTATGACGCGAATTTTGAATTATCAGATTTTACAGAATCTTTATTTAGACGTTTTTCTATCTTTAGGCCCCAAAGATAAGATATTACAAATATTGCTTGAACAGAGTCTCAAAAATGAGAACAACGTCCTCCTACAAAGGGCACCTGTTTCACAAATTCAAGTATATATGCGCTTGTCCTCTATATAAGGTGAAATTGCGGGGGATGTATGTGAGAGGTTGTGTATAAAGTAAGAGGTCGCGAGAAAAGAGGAGAGAGAGAGGAGAAAAGAAAGTAAGAGTATATATATATATAAAAGAAAGGGACAAAAGAAAAAAGAGGATCCGTGGATCGTTGAGGGTTAAAAAAGAGGGGAGAAGCACGCGTCAGCCACGCTCCCTTTGCACGCACCTGGGGCCAGTTGGCTAGCGAGAAAAAGGCCCTCCACTACCAACAACAACGGCACAAGCAATGCCCAATTATTAACAAATTATAACCGCGAAATTGAGGATATTCCGGAAATCCGGAAACAAAGTCTCGCACTGGACCCCGCCGCGAATAGTCGGTTTTGAAAAAAGAAACACACATTCTCGCTTGTTAGCGCTCTAGCAAAACATTGACAAATGATTTTCATATATAAAAATAACAAAAGCATCTTATGAAACACATATATAGATAACAATAGATTTGCTGTCAGGCACTATGGAAAGTTGAACATAAAATAGTTAATTTATAGTAAAATACTATAAAAGTCCCTATAGGGAGGGGGAAAATGTTTTTCAACGATCGACAGGTTTAATCATAAAAATATAAAAATATTTAAATAATATTTATTTTATTCAACTAACTTAATTTTTTGGTTTTTAAATTGGTTCTCAAATCTAAAATTACTGTTACTTCTATACGATTTAAAATAAACATACAAGTATATGTACAATTGCAATGAAGATAGAACTTAACGGGAATCAATGGATGGAACTTGTACGCCATCGAAGGAAGTGAAATTAATGAAGTGAATGTCCTTGGAGTCTTTAAAAGTCTAACCGTACGTAGTTCCTCTTTCAAACAACCCGGCTTCGCAAAGTGTTTACGGGTTTCCGCTTCTTTCCTGGAAGTGTGCTTATTGAATAATGTTTTCCTATTTTTTTACGCAAAAATATTGAGGACACTTAAACTTGATCGTAAACAATTATATTGAAGCCTTTCTAAATAAAATATCCGCACCATATAACAAAATACAGAAATTAATTTTATCCGTTTTATAAAAAATATTTTTTTGTATATTATACGCAAAAATATAGTGAAATCAATACGATCTAAATTCAAGTTACGAAATTCGATATTAAACTGCGGTGGGTCTAATCATTATCCTCCGTTTTTGTGATTTATGATTCCGGGAAAACGTAGTTTTTAGAGTTAAAAGTGAAAAAGGTACTTGTTACGTCATAATTTCTTATCCGATATCGGTCTATTGCAAAAGGACTTTATAATCTGCGGTTTTTTTTATATATAGAAAATGGAAATTATAGGCATTATTGACTTAAAGCAGTTTAAAAGGGTATAATTTCTGGTAGCTGATAATCTTGATTGCAAATATTATACTAACTTGATTCCATTAAAGAAAATGTCTTAATAATAATTAGAAACAAATCGTGGTATAAAAACGAATTTCAATTTCGAATTTCAAATCAAATCTTAAAAGATATTAATATCATTCATATATAATTTAAAGAAACTGCCACTTATAACCTGTGAAACTAAAATAAACGAAAAGAAAACCAATATCCGAAAAATAATTAAAGGATCTACTTTGCCGAAAAGGAAATAGACCATAAAATTAAAACCCAAGGGTGTCACCTAATGTCAACTTAAATCCTCTCAAAAAATATCAGAAACAAAGAATAAATAATTTATCTTCTCAAAAAATTTTAAACCGTCATGGCTGATGTGGATTTTATTTTAATATAGGTTATTTGTTTTTGACGGTAAATTTGGCTTGAACCCTAATTAGTTCTACGCAGTTTTTAAAAGGAAAATGACCACCCAAACTTCCGGAAAGATGAAAATCTTCAGGTATAATATTGGTGTATTAAAGTCACATTAGAAGTGTGAGAGGAAGTATAGACGATATTTTGGTCCATTTAAGGACGCAACTATGTGTCGCAGGTCTTTTGCCTTTTTTTTGGGGGTTTAAATTTGAAGAATTCTAATCTCGAAAATACATTACACATACCACTTTTTAACTCGCCGCATCATTTGTCTGAATACCAAAAAAAAAAAAGAATCCGTCTACCTGTGATGTTTGCACTACTGTTTTTAACTATACATATAATTTCAAAGTTCCGCTTTGCAGCTTCTCGTGTTAAGTGTGCGTTTACAAAGTGTAAAACTTTATGAAAAGTTAAAAGAAAGTTACAAGAGACAATATAAGTCATAATGCCTTTTATGGTTTTATTGCCCATTGTTCCTTAATTTTAAATACTGTGGTTCAAAGAAAAATACAGGTAACCGGACCTCCAATATCGTCAACAAAAATGATTTAATAAGAAAATTGTTCTTTGAATAAAATTATTATAAAAATAAAATTTTCTTGTAAATTTAATTATATAAAAAAGTCAAAATTTAAATGCCAAATAAATCAATTTAATAATAATAATTTAATAATAAAAAGTAAAATTTCTAACCTTATATCGATGATTGTTGTTTGAACCCTCCCCCAATTTTGATCCTCTTGATTTAATCCAGATGTTGTCTTCAAAAAAAAAACTGTACACATTAACACTTTTTTAATTTAACACTGACACTGCTTTAAATTAAACACTTGAACACAGTAACATCGCGCACATGGTCAATTTCAACACGAGACATTTCGAAAATGTTTGAAAATTAAAAACGAAAATCGCGAAAATTCTAACCTAATTTCGAGAAAAATTTTACACAACATATGTAAAGCACGATTTAAAAAAATTTATAATTTTGGATATAGTTCCGAATAGCACATACCTCCGATTTCAATAAAACTTAGTATCCCTACGTAATTTGGTGCGCTGATTACCAAAATCATAGTGAAAATTGGCGGAAATTTAATTATCATGGTAAAAACCATAAAAAACACCATAAAATGATGGTTTTTTTCGATTATCTCGTAAAAAACAAAAAACTTCGAAAAAAGTTTTAGACGAAAGTTGTAGATCTCTAAAAAACACACATTTCATGTTTTATGCATTTTTTACCAAAAGTCATTATTTTTCGAGAAAAACGCAAAATAGTAAACACGGCCTTCGGCCGCGTAAGGTACTGCTCGCTTCTCTTTTTAAGAAATCTTGGCGAGAGGGGGTGGATGTGTCCGAAAGTAATTTGCAGAAATTGTGGGGTGGAGTCTACAGCAGCGGTAAACGCAAAATAGTAAACACGGCCTTCGGCCGCGTAAGGTACTGCTCGCTTTTCTTTTTAAAAAAACCTTGGCGAGAGGGGGTGGATATGGCCGAAAGTATTTTGCGGAATTCGTTGGATCCTGAGTAATGGTGAATATGATAATTTCTGCAAATTACTTTCGGACACATCCACCCCCTCTCGCCAAGATTTCTTAAAAAGAGAAGCGAGCAGTACCTTACGCGGCCGAAGGCCGTGTTTACTATTTTGCGTTTTTCTCGAAAAATAATGACTTTTGGTAAAAAATGCATAAAACATGAAATGTGTGTTTTTTAGAGATCTACAACTTTCGTCTAAAACTTTTTTCGAAGTTTTTTGTTTTTTACGAGATAATCGAAAAAAACCATGATTTTATGGTGTTTTTTATGGTTTTTACCATGATAATTAAATTTCCGCCAATTTTCACTATGATTTTCGTAATCAGCGCACCAAATTACGTAGGGATACCAAGTTTTATCGAAATCAGAGGTATGTGCTATTCGGAACTGCACCCATAATTTTTTCTAAACATCAAAGTAATTTAATTTTCAAATAATACATTAAAATACCCACAAATAATATTTTAAAAAGAAAAAATTACGACATTACAAAGATAAACACGTGGGGGTACATGGGGATGAAATTAACAAAGCGCCAATAGTGGTTGAAAAAGTAACTAATATTTCTAATTTTTTATATCAAACAAAAGCGCCAACAGTGGTTGAAAAAAGAACTAAAATTTCTAAATTTTTATCTCAAATTTAACCTGATTTTGAAAAAAAATCGCAATCACATTTTTTATAAAATAATGTGAAATTGATGAAATTAAACCCTCTTTCAGACTTTGGAATAATTAATTATAATATCACTGTATCTTGAACCTATCAAATTGGGATAAAATATCAGCAAAAACTTGACTTTGAGAGGAAGAAAAAATTCTGAAATCGACAAGTACAGTAGATGAAATAAGTCCCGAATTAAAAAATTTATATATTCTTTGAAACCTTTGAATAATTAATAACACTTCACTACACTTTAAATTAAAAACTACGTATTAAAAGTCACGAAAATTTTAGATTTTGAGAGAAGAAAAAATCACGAAATTGACACGGTAAAAACGCGGGAACAAACTAAAAAAGCGCCAACAGTGGTTGAAAAAGGAACTAATTTATATTTATTGTAATTCAAACTTAACATTTAGCAACAATTTTTAGATTTTTGTTTTAATATAAAAATCTGTTATAAAATAATGAAAATAGTTTTTAAATAGTAAATTAAACAATAAATAACCGCTTTTAATTATTTGAAATTATTAGACTCATTTTTAAAACAATAAAACTATTCACATGTTTTACAACAATTAATGCGATAGAACTGGCGCTGAATTTGAATTATTATTTCAATTTGTAAAATTAAAATCTAAATTAAATTTAATTAAAATCTTCTATTAATCAAAATAAAATATTAAAATGGCATAAATAAAATATTAAAATAAATAAGACTAAAGAAAATAAATATAAATAAATAATTGTTAAATTAGATAAGCAAATAAAAAAAATATAAATAAACGGGAGGAATTAAATTTATTTAAACTAATTTGATTTTCTAAATCACGACTAAACGAGGGTCTCTAATTTTCAACTGGAATATTATCACATTATCTGAAAATACTTCCTAAGATCATTTACAAGATTAAAAAAAATAAGAAGAACGTTTATTGAGTTCGAAACTTTGATAATGGATGTTTACATCCTTCCGCTTCGTATATTAGCTTTAATTTATCCTCACTATCCGTGAATGGTTTTTTTTATTTCATCTTCATCGATAAATATATAACATTCTCAATATATATAGGTAAAGCGGCCAGCGTATGAAGATATTATATTTTTCGGGAAAAATGGATACGAGACGCGTAAAAGTGATCGGGGCCATGGGTGATGGTTTTAACGCTGTCTAAGGCGCCTGGTTTCGGTGATGATACTCCCGATAACCTGGTTAACCCCAACAGCCGGTTATTATAATATTTGCCGAACCAAAATATAGTAATTGCTTATTTGCTTGAGCCCAATTATTGTAAGTCTGATCCCCGCATATGATGTCAGATAGGCACCACCTCTCTCTCTTTTTCTCTCTTTCTCTTTCTATCGGTGAGGGTAATGATTAGGCCAATTGGGTGAACAATAATCACCGAACTCTATTATTCATTCGCGCCCAGAAATTGCACTCCTGTGAAATCCAGACTATTAATTTTATCCAATTAACATAAATATTATGTAAAAAACAGAAAACGAAAATCAAAATTCAAAATAGTATCAATGATTTAAAATAATAAAAGAAATAATAGAGATGAAAAATTAATTTGTTTTCTAAGAAAGGCAAAATGAAAATTAATTGAAAAAATTCATATATATTGATGTAAAAGACCTTTATAATTTCATACATAATTTTCAATGTACACATCACTCTCAAAATTCAAAAAATAAATATAAATTAATTCCACTGAAAACTTTTACATATTTTTATATACTTTATATATAAAATTAATCAATTTTTACTTTGTATATTTCTGCGAGTGTTGAAAAATTATGAGAAATATTTTTAATTAAAAAAAAACCTACAGACACGTTTTAGACTCTATTAGAATCTGTAATATGAAAATAATAATACAATAAGAAAAAAATTCTTTCTATGCTCTCTGTTAATACCTTACGGTTTCCAAAGTTTTAATAAACCGTCTTCGCTGTACGAACAAAGTAAATTTTGATGTGGATGATGAGCAAGACCAATTACATCTTTTTCATGAATCTGAAATTTTTAAAATGTGACACAAAATGCAAAATATAATTTTTCAATAAAAAAAGAGAAAATTTACTTACATTTAGTGTTCTTTCCAATTTTCCCGATGTTGTTGAGAAACAATAGAGTACAAGATCCTCTCCCACACAGTAAATAAATTCACCTCGAGGACTTACAGCAATGCAAACGAAATCGCCGCCCTCACGTTTACCGGAAGAAAATGATCTAACTATTTGACCTTGCATATTCATGATGACAACTGTATTCGAACGATTACAAACGACAAAATGTTCTGGATTCCTCGGAAGGGGATGAATACTATTTACTGTTAAATCGGCAGCTCCTAGAGATTTATACGTTCCTGTACATTCGGTTGTTTTTAAACTCCAAACTTTCACTGTACCGTCCGATGAAGCACTGAAAATTTTTCATAGATTTTAACTTAAATTAATTTATATTTTTATTAATATTATTACCTAATAACATTGTGTCCATCAGGAGAAAATACAACTTCGTTTACGAAAGACGAATGACCTCTAAATTCCTTGAGAGTTTTACCGGATTTAAGTCCGTGTATTCTAAAATAAATCAAATATAATTATCTTTAATATTTGCTTTTGAAAAGCAATTTTTAAAGTTATTTGTTAAACTTAAAAATTAAATACCTAATTGTGGTGTCGAATGAGGCGGACAATATTTGACTGTTATCTCGGCTAAATTGAAGACAAGTGACACCCTTGGAATGTGCCTTCTCAAATCGCCTCAAACACTGTCCATTTTGTACTCGCCAAACTTTAATTTTTCCATCCTGAGAACCTGTCGCGAGCATTTCACTATCACGACTAAATGACATGGACAATACGGCTTGTTCCATCATCATAAAATTGTCCTGTGCCTGATATTTCAAATCTTTACGAATTTTTCCCGTGGTAAAATTCCAAACTTCAATAAAACCATCAACCGAACCGGTAACAAGAAATTGACCATCAGGCGAAAAACGAGCACATTCAACGTGTGATTTTTGTCCAAATTTAATTTGTTTCGATAATTGTGTGGGATATTTTTCATCTTCTTGATCACGAACAGCAGCCTTTCCACGAAATAAATCAATTGTTGTTCCAGGTGGCAAAAGTCCCTGATGCTGTTGCCATTTCAATGCCTGTCCCAAAAGAGCCAATAATCTACTTGATGGGACAACTGACACTTCACCAGCTAATGCAGTTGCTATGTATGCTCGACGTTTCTCTTTAGTACTGCCATCGGGATAAGCTTCACGTGGATCAAAATAAGAACGAGCCAGTAAATTTTCTACAAAAGGAAAAATATTTCATAACATTTAAATCAATATTATTTATTCATATTTTTTATATAATATTTATATTGTATAAAATTTTCCTTACCTAGATGAATATACCTTTCAGCCTCTTGCTGTTTCATCATTACCATCGGATCAGTTTGACGGAGCAGAGATCGAGCTGCTCCCAATTCTCTCAATTCAATCAACTCCAGGACCACCTAAAATAATAGATTCAAATGAGATTTATTTTTAATAAAATAAAAATAGCATTATAGGAAAATAAAAGACTAAATTATTAAAGTCTATTAAATTAAAATTCAGTTATATAAAAATTAATAATCAAAAGAAACTTTTTACCTGTTCATACAAATCAATAAGCTTTTTATCTGGTAGCTTAAGTGATTGAATGGCTTTGAGAACAGTATCCCAATGTCCATTATTTATATCCGCAACAAAACCATCAACACTGTCAACAGTATTTAAAGAAACACCAGTTTCTTCCTAAAATTTAAAATTCATTATAATAAATAAAAATTCGTTTGTTTTTAAAGTAAATTTTCCTCTTCTGTTAACAAGGCTCTAAGGTAATATTAAACAATTTACCTGGAGAGTCTGTAAAGTTCTCACAAGATTAGATTCCTTCAAATATTGCTGTATCAATCGAATCACACTGAAATACAAGACAAATAAATTAGAAATAATTATAAACAGTAATTTGTTTATATATGTAAATTGTTTGGAATTTGTGCAAAAATAAACTTACTCAGCTGACTCGATTTCGATGGACATTGTCCCAGATAAACTGTAATATTCTTAATTATTTTTTTTTTAAAGAATATTATTATATTTCACTTTTTTATTTATATTGTTTATAATACTTGTCAGTTTACTGTAAAAAGAAATTTTTCTAGGTTATGTTGACGCTAAGAGTCAGGGTTGGGAACCTGAAAATCATCTCTGAGAAAGATATGGCGCCACTTTAGCGGCGGGAAAATTGAATTCTTAATCAAATAACCAATCAGAATTTTACGACTTGATTTTTACGTTTTTTACACTTTTTACGACTCTTACATTTTTGACATGTCAGGGCGCTTCCACAATCACATGCATTTTCATTTTGCTCTTTGCATTTTGCTCTTGCTTTCTGCGCGCGCAACCTACTTATCAGTCGTCAAAATTAATTAAGTAATTAATTACTAATTAATTATATGTAATTAAGTAGTAATAATTTTATACATTAAACAAATTAATTGATTACTACTTAATTACATGTAATTAATTTGTAATTAATTACTTAATTAATTTTGACGACTGATAAGTAGGTTGCGCGCGCAGAAAGCAAGAGCAAAATGCAAAGAGCAAAATGAAAATGCATGTGATTGTGGAAGCGCCCTTACACGTTAAAAAAAACATTGAGTTACGCACAACTGCGCAACCTAGTAAACTATTTCATTTAAAATAACAATAAACAATATAGAAATAATGTTTTACTAAAGAAGAAATCTAATAATATCTTTGTTAACACATATAATTGTTTAGCTGTCAAGACAGCACGTGATACAATCGTGGAGTGCAATTTGTTTCCTTTGTTTTTAATATACAAACAAGGAGGTTACTGGATGTTTTAATTGTTTGCTCCATTTACTTTCTTTTTTATTTGTAAGTATAGCAAATCTATAAACTATAATCTTTTTTTACTTTTGATTAATACATATTTTTCAAAAATATTAGTTTATTATTTGTCATCTTAATTTAGGGATTTTCGATTCATTCTGTTTCCCATTTTTATTTACACATATTTTGACGTTTCATCTACATTTAAAATAAATATGTAATCAGATTATTAATGTTTATTGTAGATTGTAGTTAATAGCAAACTTTAATTTTTTTATTCTATTTATCTAATTAATAAAAGACTTTAAACTTATGATGCAATTATGTCTGTAGGAGATCAAATGGAGCAATAGACAATAATAGAGAAGGGATATTTGGATACCGAACTTTGTATGCTCCAGGCGCAGTTGCAGTTTAATATCGTATACTCCGATTGGTTCTAATTAAATAGAATTGATACAAATGCACTATCTAGAAAGACGACTCACCAAACAGTTGTAAAAGAAAAACACCACACCCGTTTGCCGTGATATAAACACGCACGAAATTTTTTTCTCACATGTTTATTTATTTTTACAAGTGAGTTTTTGACATTTGGCGCTGCACAAGTGACAATGATGAGGTTGACATTTATCATTAGAAAGTTGAATTTTCCATCCGAATGTGACGTGTATAAAAGATTTTAAATCAATTTTATGTTCCAAATACAAAATTGAATGAAGGAATGAAGTGTTATTTTGACAAAACATTAATAAATCATGTCAGAATTGTCAAGCAATCCAATGACAATGTCTGGCATACAGGAAATTATCGAATTAGCAAAATTATTACGACAAAACGGTGACAAAATATTAAATGGTACCAGTAAACTTTCATTATCGACGACACTTTTGCATAACCTCAATCAAGTGTTTCATCAAATTGTTAATGAAGCAGATGATCTTGAAAGTTCTTTTCAAGTTTGTAATAGTTCAAAAAATGATGTGTTTCGTGATATTAAATTTTTACATGATTTTGTGCAAAAAACACTTGGTCTTAAGATAACCTGTAATCTTGCTGATGCAAAAGTTGACATTGACATCAGTAAATTTCGTCATTTAAAATATTTGGAGTTACAAAAAGTTTGTATTGAATTAACAAAAGGAATACAAAGTATAAGAGGTCAATTGGAATGTGTTATTTGTGCTGGTGGACGAGGAGTTAGCAGTATTGGTCACTTACTAGGTAAAATTACATTAATTTTTATAAATAGAAGAAACGATAGTCATTTAAAAAAAAATTAATTATTTTAACTGTTTTTAAATATTTATTTATAAATTAATCAATTCTTTTTGTAAATTTTTAGCTGCTTGTGGAGGAGATGCAGGTGTTGGATTTGTTTGGAATTCTTTAAATCGACTTTTCTTACCTTACAATGCTTTAACCGGATTAGATAAATCCCTCGAACTCACTCCTTGGCTCCAGATGTTGGATTTAAGTCATAATCTGATATCAAAAGCTCCTGAAATAGATTGTTTACCAAGTTTGAAATACGTTAATTTAGGGTTTAATAAATTAGAAACAGTTCCTCCTTTTCATAAAGCGACGTTTCATACGCTACAAAAATTAATATTAAAGAGTAATTATATTGACAATATAAAAGGTAATAATTTTATATTTTCTCAACAATTAAATTAAATGTTTTTTTAATATTTTCTTTCAATAACTTATTTATGATTTTTAATTTTAGGTTTACAAGGACTTGAAAACTTGGTAGAATTGGATTTATCTTACAATTGTTTAACTGATCATTATAATCTATGGCCTTTAGAAACAATGTCAGGACTCTTGTGGCTATCGTTAGAGGGAAATCCCATTTCTTATCATCCTAATCACAGATTACTCTCTTTAAAACACTTGCATCCATGTTTAAGTGGCAGTAAGGTACAGATATATTTTTATCACAGTAATGAATATTAAATATTGAAGAACATCTTTTTTTTATTAAATATAATTCCCTTATGTTTATTATTATTTTTAGTTCGTTTTGGACCGATTGCCTCTTACAAGATCAGAGAAAATACTAGTGTCTGAAAATCGAAATTATTCTATTAGATCAATTGGCGCTGTACCCAGAGAATATTTTTCAAGTGTATCAGATTTTGCGTCCGAGAATTCATCAACTTCATTAGAAGCATCTTTTTGCGATGATAATAGTGAGAAAAGACAATTTCTCGATGGAATGGATAGTTTAAGCACAAGTGTCACAAGCATAACGAAAAGTAAGCGTAAAAAAACTGTAAAAGAAGCTATAATAGCTGAAGAAGATCATGACAAAGAAAAATCACCCGGAAAACCCGCTTCTCTATCAAGTTCTTTTATGGGTAAGTTTCAGTTTCCATTTTCCTTAATTTAAATTTTTCTCTTAATTTTTTTATTGCAATTGTAAATCTATACATAGAATCATCAATGGAACATTTGGAAACAAAGAGACAAATTCTCGCACTGAGAAAACAATTTGGTGAAGATAATTGGTTGAGTCATCGTGCTGGAACTGTAATACAAAATATCATGGGAATTGATAGTGAAATAGACGTAGTGCCTTCAAGTTCACCAATTCCATCAATGAAAATTTTGGAGTCACTTGAAAATTTAAATCAAAATGAAACAAATGATATTGACGATAAAATTGAAGGAATTGATGAAACTGTAAATAATGAAAATGAATCACAAAGTGACAGTCTAGCGATAATTGAAACTAGTAGTAAGGAACATAATGAAGAACCTGTTTACAATCCAGAAGAAGGTAAAAATAAATTATTGCATTTGACATACGATTTATTCTACTAATGTAATTGTTTTCTTTAGAATTAGGAGATTTATATTTAGTTCAAAAAAAGAAGAATGAACAAAATCTTGAAGAAGTTTTTCTGATAGTTACTTCTGAGTAAGTTTTTCAAACAATTTTTTTATTCTATTTTCTATATTTTTATTTTCGTTTCGTATTGAAATGTTATATTTTTTCAGGGAAGTAAAGGAAAGAGATTATATTACTGGTAAATTGAAATTTCGTTGGTCAACAGAAACAGTTTTGTCGTGTGTTATGGGCAGAGGAACACCAACGACTGTTAATATAATATTTGATACAACGCGTAAAGATAGACAAACCAGAACATATCTGGTGGAAATCGATGACGCAAAAGTAAGTTTAAAAAAGTATTTCTATAACTAATTGTCTATATTTTTATTAAAAACAATCAATTGTTGTAGAAAATTGTTAAAACTTTAAACGAGAGAATAATAACGAGATCGATAGAATTAAAGGTGTATAAATGTATGAAATGTTCAACACACTTCTCTCATGACACGGAAATTACGACCGTTTCTATGCTACCAGGTATATATTTTATTTAAAAATATTTTTTAATATCTAAAATTCTAAAAAAATAACTTGAATAATGATTAAAATTTATTATTGTTCAGGATTAGGACCTCCAAAGTGTCCGGCATGTCAAAGTACTCTAGTTATTCAAACGGATGATTTTAATACTCCAACTGCTGAAAATTCTAAAAATCAAATGAAATCTGGAGGCGAAACTCAAAAAGATATTTTAGATAGTAATCTAAAACATTCTGAATCACAATCTAGTATAGGTGAGACTTATTGGTTATTAGAATTGAAGAAGAGAAATATTTTCTGTTTTTTAATCACATCTTTTCTTATGCATGAAGTAGTAATTACAAATATGGTATTAACCCTTGACAATTGTAGTTTGTTAACCAATATTTCTTAGAAGAAGCTTTCTTTTTTTAATTATTGAAAAATATGAATTTCAATTGAATTAATAATGCTAATTAAATAAATAGAATTACTAATACTAATTAAATTTATTGCATTAATTATAATAAATTAATTAAATAATATTAATTATTAAATTAATGTTAATAATTTTGTTTGGAAAATTTTTGGACAATAACAAAATTTTTATGATAAATTAATATTGTAATTCTTTAAGTAATAATTTATTGGTTAAAATCATAAATTTGCCTATTAAATTCCATTGATTAGAATGTAACACACTAATCCCCAGTACAGGTGGAACAAAGGGTGGAGCTATAAACATCACCTCTTCTCTGGTGATCACTGACTTAAAACGTCGATATCCAATCTGCTGTAAGCTTTAGTCACAATAATTAATTCTAAAGCACATCGAATATTTTTCTTAATTTTTATCCTAATTTAATTTATCTTTTTGTCCTTTTTGTACATAATATTTTCATTTTATTTCATAAATAGTTTTTCAAATTTAAGTACACTTTCATCAAGCATGATACTATTTAGAACATTTAGCTTGCTCTTTTAGGAATTAAAATAATAAATTTAATTCATTCATTTATTTAATTTCAATCCTAAAATTGACAAAGTAATTTAAAAAGCTAATCAATGTACGTAAAACTTTACTCTTTTTATTATTATTTAGTTGTAAATAAAATTTATTTTTTATTGTACTATTTTTTTACCTATTTTATTATGATTTACAGTTTCACAGAATTTTTGAAATTGAATTACATAATAATATTGAATAATCTGTATAGATTACACTATATTGCATTGTAAATTATTATTGTTCATCATCTAGGATCATTTTATGAAATAAATTTTTCTCTACTCAATATTTTTAATAAAATTGTATCTTAATAGGTTCAGCGGCTAGTCTTGAAGATTCTCGAGAATCTACTCCATCTGGAGGAACAAATGCAAAAAAATCTGAAAGCGATATTGAAGTCCTGAGTAATCCAAGTCAAAGTAGCATAGAAGTTTTAGATGAAGGTTCAAAGTAAGTTAACATTTATTTTATATTCATAATTTTATTGTAATCAATTTTATCAGAGTTATTAATACTTTTTGAGCACATAAATAATATTTTATTTATCGCAAATCTTCAATTAAAATTGTCATTACTGACTGTTTGAATTGTTTTTTCAATATTCCACTTCTCTATAATAATCTCACTAATTTAATGCACGAATTATTTAACATATCTAGGTCGAATTTAACACCGAAACGAAAAAAATCTGAAGGACAACGCAATGCGGGAGTATCTTCTGAAATAACTCCTATTATGGCGGGTCTAACAGAAAGTAGTTCCTCAGGTTAGAAATTAGTTACTTAATTAAAATAAATTGTGAATAAAATTGTGAAAAATTGCTAATTAATCCCTATATAACCGAGTAATTTACTCTTTCCAGGCTCTATGACTGACAGTGTGTGTACAGCTTATGAAAATAAAAATGTCAAACTATGCGATATTAGTGAAATGTCGCATAGTAGCGATAATGTCGACAATGATGCTATTAAAAACGTCGAAATTGAAAAAGAAACAGTTTTCATGCCTGTTACAAATTTGACATCAATGTTAGGAGGTGAGAAAAAATAAACCAAGAGACATCACTAATATCGCATAAGGTGTTAACTAGCTTGGCTGTTTTTTTTATGTCTGTACCATTTTTTGCTAGTTGATATCTTATGTGTTAATCTATTAATTAATATGACGTTATTTCAAAGTATTAATCTATTAACATTTTTTAAAATATATCGAAATAGAAAATTAATTTAATTGCTTCTTTTAGAATTATTGCAAACTATGAAAATTGGAAGTACGAAGACAACTCCTACGAAATCGGAAGAGAGTTCTGAATTTATGGGAAGTGATGTTCATTATTCGTACACGGATTTTAATAGCGTAGACCACAGAATCAAACTTCATATAATTTTAAATGTCTTTGAGCAAGAGAAAGAGGAACTTGTTCTTTTATTGAGGGTAAATAAAATAATTTTCATGTAATTTTTTGTGTTACAAATATATAATTATTTTCAATGTATGTTATTTTATTAATTTTGTTTTTTAATTTTATTTCAGGCTGAAATTTTCACTCCAACGTCATCAAAAACGTTTCCAGGTTGCTTAGTTTTATCCACGTCTAAAATTTATATTCTTAAGATTTTTGGACCTGAAGGGTAAGAATTAATTTTGTTTGATAAGTTAAAAATTATATTTTTTATTTATTTATTTTTCTTTTGTTCTTTAATTTTAGAGAAGATCCTCAACGCTGGTTGAAAAAGGAAGCGAGTTGGACAATGGATAGGCTACGTTCGTTTGCTCCACTACCTTTTAAACAAGGTCTTTTGGTGCAATTAGAGATGCCGAACAAAACTGGTGAAGACATTCAAAATTTTACTCTACTCTGTATTCTTCAAGATTTTCAAAGAACGTCAAGTTTTCTGTTTTATCTAACAGGTAAGAAATTTATTGCTATATTTAAAAAAATGGTTTTTTATTTTTGAAAAATTAATTATTTTAAAATAAAATAAAAAAAGGAATTTTAGAATATGGTAATTTCATTTTTTTAGAATTGAGTTTACCGGCAAGTTGTGAGGTTGAATTCATAGTGCCAGATCATTGCAATTTTTCGATAAAAAATATGCTATTAACATCAAAGAATCATCGACAAAGTGATCTCGTTAGATTGCTCGCGATATTTTCGTCAGCAATTGTAAAATCAGAAAAATGTACAACAAAATTAAATACCTCTGGGCTTGTCACTACATCGTCGACGTTAATTATTTTGGAGGATAATCTACAATGGTTACTTCCCGATCATAATAAAACTCCAGCCATTGCAATAGAACAAGCACTAAGCAATTTAATAGCAGTGGTAGGAATAATAATGTTATAATTGTTTTAAAATATCAATTTTTTAAATACATTCGAATTTTTATATTTTTTTAATAAAATAATCTGTTTTTTAAAGGACATAGAAGTTGATTCGAAAACGGAAAATGGAAATGCAACGCTCAATTTGAGTTTCTCGGATGAAATGGCAGGATTGGAAGAAACTTGGATTTTGGAATTTGTTTCAGTGGGTGCAGCCGAGTCTGTGGTAAATTCTATTCAATTACCATGGGAAGAATTGTTTTCAGTTCCATTGCAAATCGAAACGAGAATACTCGACACTACAAAAAATATTGAAAGATGAAGAGTATCTATTGTAAACTAGCTTAATTATATTTTTTTAAAGAATGTCAATTTTTGACAAAATACTAACCCACATTTTAATTCTACACTATAGAACAATTTGCAATTTTATTACACACTTTTAATTTATAAATTCTAAAAAAAACAAAACAAATCATATATTGTAAATTTATTGTAAAGAAATGTAATTTCAATTTTACAAAGAAAAAAAAATGTTTTTCTATATTTAAATGAGAAAAACTTCCATTTTTGTAAGCAAATTCTGTAATATTATTGCGACTGTGATATGTGCGTATAAAAATTATATATGTATATATTTTTAGTCGAATTAACATTTTATAATGTGTCTATATATACAATTTTAATGGAAAATTGTAATTAATAAGATCACGTGGAAATTATAATAAAGTTTTGTTTTTTTCTTTCAAAAATTAATCGAATTTTCAATCCACGAATGGAATATTTTATTTGTTTAATTTTCATTGAATACAAAGTGCAATATTGGATATTATATGAATTCTATAGAAATTGAAAAATAGGTCAAGAGAAATATTATTGGCACATGTTTTCATTTAGGCGAATACAAGTTACATAATCAGATATTTTTAAAATTTTCACACCTGCAAAGCTTAAATAGTGCAGAGGTAGACTATGCGGCGAAAAGACGCCAAATTATTTCCAAATTTTATAAAATAAAAAATAAAGTGTTTATTAACATTTTTCTACAAAAAATCATGTTTTGGATTTTATTCTCTCTTGTTCTTCTGGGTACGATTTAAAATTAATTTTCAATTTTTTAATTTAATTAAAATGAAATTTGTAATATTTAATATTTTTAATATAATCAATAATATTATTATTATTGTTATGAAAATTACGATAAATTTTTTAATTTTCATGAATTGGAAAATATATTTTAGTTTCCAGTATCTCTACAGACGGGCATCATTTCGGCTATAGTAAAAAAAGTGAGTTTAACATTCTCTTAGATTAAAATCTATTAATTAGGAAACAAATTCAATTAACTAGATTATTGTAAAAATAATTCACTTTCTAACTTTAGATCAGCATTTATGGATGAAAGATCATAAAACGTGTGCCGGAAAATTACAATCACCAATTGCTTTATCAACAACTCAATCACTTCCATTACCATTGCCAGCTTTGGAAATGATTGGCTATCATGACTTTTTAAAAAATCCTATAAAATTAGAAAATAATGGACACTCGGGTAATTTGTAAAAATGTTGAATGTATCAAAAATGAAAATTTTTCATTAATAAATAAAATAATTTATTTTCTTCATTGATCAGTGACGCTAACTCCTAGCATTGATTCAATAAATAATACAAATTCCGAAAATCCTTATATTTTTGGAGGAATGCTGAATCATGGAAAAAATTATGAATTTCAAGCACTTCATTTTCATTGGGGCAGAAAAAATAACAGAGGATCTGAACATTTATTAAATGGTGTGCGATATCCCATGGAAATGCATTTAATTCACAGAAATAAAATTTATCAAAATATGGAAATTGCTTTAAACAATTCGGATGGACTTTCAGTGATTGGAGTCTTTTTTCAAGTAAAAAGATCAATAATTATATGTTATCCTTAACAATACAATATAAATTAACATTTTGCAAAATACAACAACCTTAAAAATAATATTTCAAAATTAAATTTAAAAAAATATAACGATAAAAATAAAAAGAATATTTTAATTACTAAAGTTGCAGGAAGAAGCTAATCCACGACTTGTTCCAATTTTAAAAGTTTTACCAGATCTTCGTTGGAATAATAGTCAAGTTTCTGTAAATTCATTTTTAACTTTATCCTCATTGATGCCATCAAATATAGAAATATTTTACACTTATAAGGGATCATTAACAACTCCACCATGTAACGAGGCAGTGACTTGGATCATTTTCCCCACTGCTGTACCAATATCACTCCGACAAGTATACTTAATTATTTATAATAATTAAAAAATTGAAATTGCACTAAAAATTACTTAAATAACTTATTGATATAATTTCCATTATTATTAAACGAAATTTTTTATTTCTAAGTTAAAAATATTAATTCTAAACGAATTATTATTAATAGCAATGAATATTTTACAGCTAAATAAATTCAGACTCCTTTCAAGTGGCGAAGGATCATTAGCAGACAATTATCGTCACGTTCAAGACGTCGGACGTAGAAAAGTTTACGTAAGAAGAATTGATTTAGCAGTTTCAAATAAAACTAAAATACAACACTTAAATATGACAAATTTATCCTGGTACTGGGAGTAAGAAATAATAATTGTTCAAACACTTTCAAACTGATACTGTGATATTAAACTTATTCAAATCTATAATATATATTTTACAATATATTTTATTAAATGTTACTTATTTCTTCATTTATATATTAAACAAATGTAAAAAATAATAAAATATCATAAACAATATTTTTATCAAAAACTGTCATTGTAAATTAATTCAAAAATTGTATTCATTTTTTTACAATGTAAATTCAATTGTTTATAAACATCTTGACGTATAATCAGCAAAAAAATTTTCTTTAAATTAACAAAAGTACTTTTTTTATACTTTGGTACTTAAAAGTACGTACTCTTAGCACGAATTTGTAATATATAACTTATTTTAAATTAACTTACTTTGATATTGTGCCATCGTTAGATTTTTTTTTTGGTAACTTCGGAAGAAATAATTGCTGTATTAGAAAAAGCCATACATACTTGATTTTTTTTTTTTACATAACTTCGTTGCTTTCATTGTCTGGAGTTGCATTCACTTTAAAGTAGAAATTAGACTTCATTTTGTCGAATTTGCTCATGAATTTTTGAACAGAGAACCTTCAAAGAAAAAAAAAAAGAATTATTTTTTCTCAACAATTCAATTGTAATTAAAATGTTTCTTGTAATCAATCAGAAAAATATTTTTATCAGTAATTACACTTACTTGTCTCAACTGATAATCAGGAATAAGAAGAAGTTTTATATGATCACCGTTGCCAAATAATTTTCCCAACTTCTTTTTCTTTGTATCCTTAATACAAAGTTGAACACCTCTTTCTGCTATGGAAGTTAATTCACTAATCTCTTGCCATGTGTATGACCAATCAACCTATCAAAAAATAAATCTTTTATTAAAATGTCAATGAAAAATTTGATTAACTACTTTTGCAATTTAATTAAAAATATCTATGTTTATAACAAAATGGTAAAATGAATTAAATATTACAAACCTTCCAACCTCCAAAGATGTCGTTTCGTTCTAAGTATAATATTCTTTTATCCGTCAAAAGAACAAGATCTTTGTTTATATACAAATGATAGAAGTAAATATCAGTATTTGCATACTTTCCTTTTTCCAATTCCTATAAAATATTGATAATTATTAAATTTAATAAATAAGAAAAAAACCAAGAATATTTAATCCTATACTCTAATTATAACGTTTTTTAATTTAATAATTATAATCAGAATGAGATAAATATTTACAGAAAGAATTTTATTGCCCTCGGCTTCAATTCGAATGTAGGGCCTAACAAGATTGTCATGCTGGAAAAATCTGGGAGGTCTAACACGTTTTGCTTCTTCATTTAATTCAGTTGCGCTGAAAGAAGAAATTTTTCACATGAAAACAAAAATTTTGTTCAATGAAAACAAACAATGATTTATTGATATTATACCGTCTAACAGCTCCAAAAGATCCACTTGCAAAATCAACAACACCAGCGGTTGGTCTGGTAACAAGACCAACGACTCCTTTTCCGAAACCTTTAAAGAAACCCTCAACACCTTCTTCTCTTGCACCGGATATTGGTTTCGTCACCACGCCAGTCACACCATCAAACACGCCCTTAATTTCAGTAATTGTTAAATATTATACATTTTATTAAATTGGTAGTTTTCGCTTACCATAAATAATCCTTTGCCACTTTGTGCAAGACCTTCCTGAAGATTAGCCGGTTGTTTATTGAGTTGTTCCTGTCTCTTTCTTTGATAATCCTTGTCGAATGTCAAAGCAGCGAGTCCTTTGCCTGAAATTAATTTTATATATCACGTTAAAAACTAAATTCGAAATATTTATTTTATTATTTATAATAATTCTTTTGTTACCCATTGCTCCTGTGATTTTAGAAACAGCACCAGCCATTCCACCGACAGTGTGTCCAAGCATGCTTCTAACTCCAAGGAACAAACCCTCAGCAAATTCTCCAGGTCCTTGAATTGCTCCTTGGAAAGGCTCGTAGAATAAATCTTCAATTCCTTTCATTGTACCAACGACAAGTCCATAAGGATTTCCAATAACGTCGAGACCCAAAATTAAAACGTAGGCCTGTTTAATTGTTTGTCCCACATAATGATTTGTTGCCTCTGATATTAATTGTTTATGTGTCATGAATACATAATCTCTCTCAAAATAGGCCAATCTGAAAAAATTAATTTCTTTTTAAATAAAAACATTTTTTTAAATTTCATTGAAATATCTTAAACAATTTTAAAACCAAAGGATAATAATGATTAAATAAATAAATAAAATATTCCAATTCTATAGACTTACTTGAAAACAATATCGTTTATATCTGTTAAAGTTACTCCAATTCCTTGAAGCAAGACATTTAGAACTTGAGGCACTCCAGATGATTCGCCACTACTTCCAGACATTGAAAAACTGATGTGTATCTGCGCAATAAATCATAAATTACTAATTACATTTCATATAATATATAATACAATCCATATATTATAATAACGAACCTTCAATGGTGAAAAATGAAGCAAATCAAAGAAGTTCTTTTGCTCAGCAGTTGTGATCAAATTTACATGATACATAAGCGGTTCGTCTACTAGTTTCATGTCAGTCTGGAAGAGTTCACTCTAAAAATTTTCAAAATTAATTAATCAATGATAAATTAATTCTTATTACAGAAACTGGTAGTAAAAAATAATTAATCTCTCTTAGTTAAAAAGAAATTTAATTATTCAAATGTAAAAACGAAATACCTCTTGTGATTCATTAGCTTCATCAGCGACGAACAAGGCAGACAAAGCGTTCATAAATGCGATATCCACTTTGACGTGGAATTCTTGAATAAGAACTTTAAAATATCTGAATTGCTGAACTGAACTGTGTTCTAATAATTGTTTCACAATACTCAATTCAGCAAATGGTTTCATTACTGTAAATAATGAAAAATTTATTAACAATTAATTGTAAAAAATATAATTTTAAATAATTAGAAAACAAAAATTCTTACCTGTACTTTGAGTAACACTCTTAGGTGGTGGAACCGGTGCCAAAATAACAGGGAAAATACACTCGGAAAGTTGATTGTCAATTTGAAGTTTATTAATTTTCGCGTGTAAATGAACTTGATGACTTGAAGTGCGATACTGAATCCATAAACCAGTTTGGAAAGTTCGCCGCATGTATCGTCGATTCGGTCTCAACATCTCCATATTCAGATAATCGACCTATGAAATATGAAAATAAATAAATAAAAGAATTAATATTATTTTTATTTAGAAATTTACCTCCAATTTTGGTTCGAGCATCACTCGATAGTGTGCTTCCTTATCAACTTGAACCTCTTTAATATACCGTTGATATCCCTCTTCAATAAGACCAACTTCTCGTGAATCTAAAGCACGCCAGCGACCACCAACGGTTTTTCGATTCTCCCAAATAATTCCGGAACTGTGAAAGTTTAGATGATTTTTATTTAAATGTTTCAAATTATTTTTCTTTCTTTCTTCTTTATAAATAAATATTTATACCTTGCAATACACATGTACAAAAGTTCTGATCTTGTGACATTGTTTACAAGTGATAATCCAACTCCATGAATACTTAAAGTGACATCTCGATCTATTACTTCAAGATCACCAGCCAGCTGACAATCTTCAGCCACTTTTAAACTTGTCGTGAACAAAAGAATTCGCTGTGTGCCATCAAGGAATGAGACATAATAGACTTCTTCATCGATGTCTGGTATTTTAAATGTTCCCAAATTGTCCTTTATTGAAAAAAGTAATAAATACCAAAGTTGTATAAAATTATCCAATTAATAAAAAAATTAAGAAATAATTATTATTGTCTAGATTAAATTAATATAATTTTTCTACCTTTCTGAGATCATCTTCTATTTCTCGTTTGTTGCCATCTTCCCACAACAATAATCTCGATCCCACCGGATTTTCCCAAGTATAAAACATTTGATTGAAAGATTGAATCGATCTGTGTCATAATAAAAACAAAAAAATGAAAAACAACAATTTTTAATTAAAAATAAAATAAATGTTTTAAAAACATACCTGACGTTCATGGAACCTTTTTCCCAAATATTAATTGTATGACTTGTGTGATTCATGATTAATGCTGGAGCATTTCCATGATTGTATGCTGATAATGAAATGTAAATTCCACCTTCATTGATTTGAATGTCCACGTTTATTCCTCCAAACTATTTGAAAAGTTAGTTATAAATAAATTAGAAATTTATTAAATTCAATCTACAGTTAGTTTAATTGAGGAATTACCTTATTGTTCAATTTTAATAAAGTGGTATGAACATTTGTGTAAAGAAAAGGTGCTGTTTTTTCGGGATGTCCAGACACATTTGCTCTCAGGGTTTTCTTTTCTTGCTCCGACCGAGGCCAGAGAGCAGTACATTCACCAGACGGTATCTTTAAATAAATAATATACAAATAAATCACTAAAAGAATTAATAATTGAATATATTTTAAAAAGTGAATTTTCAACTTACAGAAATCACAGGATCAGCTGGTCGATCACCTTCCTGACATTCGATAAGAAAGCTCGAATTGTTTATAAGAACATAATACGGAGTAAAGGTAATTTGTTTTGTTAAAGAGTTGTACGTCAATTGATTATGTACACCAATCTGAAAAAGATAACATTTTTTAACTTGTTTTTTTAATTATAATTTTCCTTTTTAGTATACAAAGTTATAAGAAAGCATAAATATACCTGGTAAATTCTATCATTGTATTTACACAAAACAACTCCTTTACTTCCGGCAACATCGATAGAAAACTTTTCAGACCATTCACCATCTTCCACACGAACCATTGCCTTCTTTTTTCCAAAAAACGCTTTCGACTTGAATGAAAAAAGAATTGGTCCTTTAAAGTGTTCCGGATGATATAAAACGTTTAGATGATCCTCTTGACTCTGTAAATAAAAAAAAATTTTTTAATTATTTTATTTTGTAACATAACAATAATTTCAACATGGTTATTGAATGTGTAAATTATTTAATATTATTAAACACGATATGCTAAAAAATAATCATAAAAATAATTTAAAAAATTATCGCTGCTCTTGTTTACAAAAGAAAGTAAAATCTTTGTAAACGTAATCTATTTATACTAAATAATAACCAAAGCGAAAATCCTCTTCTGAAATAAAATGAAAGCTAAATTAGTACATGAGTTATATTTACTAATTGTGTAAATATTTTCTAAATTAACAATCGCTAAATAAACGAGTGTATAAATTATAAACTCGGTAATATAAAAATGAAGTTTTCAGTCCATCACCACTCCTAAAAACTATTTTCATGCATAACTATAGAACTACAATTTTTCATTCGAAAAAATAAAAAAAATATTTATATATATTATTAATTTTCCCTTATAATATATAATAAATTTTAATTTAAATTAATTGTTATTTTTTTGCCGTCGAAACTCCTGATCCCAAAAAGTGTCCATTTGGATGTTTGAATTTTTCAAACATTTTTTATGTTTAATTTTTTCATAATAAAAATTATGAAGATAAAAAAGCTTTATAATGTGTGTTATAGACACTGATAGCCACATAAAGCATTTAAACATTACAATAGTTTTTATTCTCTACCTTGCATGGACTCGAGTGGGTTTTTCCAGCTTTACTTGATTTCTGTAAAAACAATTAATACTCGTAACAGTTTAATAAAAGAAAATAAAAATAAATGTGATCATTTTAACAAAAATCGCACCCATGAAATAAATCATAAGATTGTTTTTTTCGAAAACTCTTCAAAATAAAAAATGAATTATATAAAATATAATATTAAATTTTATTCACAACAAAAATTAAAAATGTCTATGAATTTTCTTCTCCTAAAAAATATAAAATTAATTCCAATTTGTAATACTATTTAATAAAGGAAAACACTTTTAAAATTGTAAAAATCACAAATATCAAGAAAATAGGGAACAAAAAATAAATATGACATGCAAAAGATAAATTTTCAATTTTATCCAAAATGTGAAAAATAAGAAAAATACAGTTTGGAGAATTTAGAGAATAAAGCAAAAACATATTGTTAGTTATGCAGTCAGATTGAAGAATATCAAAATTAAATGGAAAATTAAACTCACTCTGTAAGACAGCATTAATCCAGTCTTATTTAGCATCCAAAATGGACAGTAAAGAGCCATTATTACTGATCCATGTTTGAATGATGAATGAATTCCTAAATCCATGACTACTTTTTGTGCACTGTCAAAAGACTCAAAGGACCAAACTGAAAATTCTTGTGGATCCGGACTAATATCTACATTACAAGACCAGTCTTTTTCCAAGTATTGAGGTAGCTGAAAAAGATAAAAAACAATTTTTTAATGTATAAATTTATTTAATTTAATGTTAAAGTTTTTTTTTAATTTTGAAATTAAAACGCACTTTAATTACTATCGTCGATTTGCTGGGATCTATTGTAGATAATTGTAAAGTCTTACTAGCTTCTACTTTTATTTCTTGTGCATTACCAGGTTGACAGACGATAATATCAATTGGTAAGAAATTTTTCAGGTACACTGACGGATATAAATGAACATTGTAAATTGTGCTTGCCATCGTGTGACGAGTCGTATTTTCAAAATACACTTGTTCAATTTCACCAACCACCTGAAATAAAATAATTTTATACATTACACAAAATTGAATTCCAAAAAATGAAAAATCTTTATAAGTAATAAATAATACCTGAATATAAAATGGTCCACTTGTATCTTTTTTAGAACGAGAATCACATTTTAAAAGTTTTGTCATGGAAACAGTTTTCTGGAGATCCTTCCAAATAAATGGTTCTATCGAAACCATATACCTGTCCAGAAATTGAGTTATTTAATTTAAATACTACATGTAAAAAAATTGTCATGATTATTATTTATTAATTAATTTTGAAAATCTTACCCTTCGACGTTAAAGAAAAGCCAATAAATATTTGTTGGAGTATAAACAGCATCCAATGGAAGATTCAGACGTTCATCAGGATTTACAGTTCCTACTCTTTCAACTTCATTTCCTCGTTTTGTCATATAATACACAGAAACTGGCACATTAAAATGATTGTATACCTGAAAAATATATAGAATGAGTAAAAACTGAAAAATAAAAAAGAAAAAATAGGGAAAAAATACAAAAGTATAAAGAGAATTTTTTTTAAATTATTTACTTTCTGAAAATAATTTTTTGTTACTTTACCTGTAAGACACTTCTCAAAGTAACAATCGTGCTACCTTCTTCCACAACAACATCAGAAACTATTCCCCATTCTTCAGAACCTTCTTTTCTGTGTTTCAATGAAAAGAATCTTTTATCAGCCCTGAGCACTGGTATTTCTAATTTACCTTGAATTCCTTTCAACTGAAATATAAAATAAAAAAAATCAATCAAAATTTTTGACAAAATTTAACGAAAAGTATTTATTTAAAATTTTCACGCACTGAAACAATGAATTTATGTTGAGTTGTTTGTTTAACATGATCGGCTCTAAGTTCCTCAAGTAATTTAACTTCTTTTTTGTCAAATTTAGGAGCCAATTCTATTGAAGCACTTGTCTCGAGAATTACTTCGTTGTATTCAGATTTATCGACATCCATCGTTTTTCCCTGTTCTACTACCTGCAGAAAAATAATTTTTTTTTCCAAAAGTTTTTTTTTAATTTAGAAAGAATATTTGATAAGAAACTATTAATTAAATTGAATTCATGGCATTGTACCTTGAAATATCCATTTTCCAAATGAAGAGTCATGGATAAACCAGTCTCGTTTTTCAATACAAATGGAGCCATTTTACTTTTACCAGATTTACCTCCTGCTGCCATTGCATTAGAGAAAGCATTTCCAAGTTGTTTCAATACATCTAAACACGTCTTTGTCACTGTCAATTCTAAATTTTCCTATTTTTCAAAAAGTAAAAAATATATTTTTAAAGAAACGAAAATAGCATTTAAAATTTTTGTTTCATAATTTTTCTTTTACCGTTGATGTAACTTCAATTGACATTTTAGAAATTTGCTGCAGTTCCTCGGGTTCACCTTCAGTGCTTGGAGTTACTGCACTTGCTCCTTTCGATCCTTGATTTACATCATTGAATTGAATCTAAATTAAAAAGGGAGTTTTAGAATCAATTTCAACACTCATAAATTATAGATTAAATTTCATTTCAATTTTTTTAACAAGTTCTTAATAAATATCAAATACATATTTCACACCTTCGTTTTCAATTCCCAAGGAGTTGAAATTCGTTTTCCTTTTTGAATTCCTTCAATTGGTTCAATTAGAGGTTCCCAAAGTGCAAGACGACTGTTGTAATACGCAATTACTAATGACATTGAAGATTCTAAACTCATCTGTCGAGCATAATTATAAAATAAATGTAGAAAAAACAACTTATTCAAATAATTTCTACGTTGAAAAAAATTATTTACTCACAGTTTTAGTGCTCCAATCATTAATGTTACTCTGAAAACCCAAATGGAAGAGAAGCATTGGTAAAGTTTTATTTCCAACACCAGCTTCTAATGTTAATAAAATCACAGGCGCCGAAATAATAGCCACTTCTGGTTTATAAACAGGCAAATATTCTTCATCAGCCAAAATCATATCTTCAATTGCTTCAATTCCAAATTCTGTAATTGAATATTTTATAATATTATTTAAATCAGTATTTTGTATTGTAAATTGTATAACTAATTAAACAATTTTATATTAATTTTTATTTCAATTTTGTATATTCTTTCTCTACTTCAAGTATACCTGTTTTCAAGAACCAATAATCCTTTTCTTGATATGGAGATATCAACCACAGTCTTTCATGACTGGGTCCTGGTTTTTCTATTTCACTATCTTCTTCTTCTGTCTTAGTCACAGTTTGAACGACTTTATTTAAAATTTCAATGACACCTGGTGACACCGAGACGTGAATGTCCGTGAAACAAATATCCAAATGCAATCCTTCGCCTTCCGGTGTAGAACCAGCGACACTAATACTGCAGGGTTTCAACACCTACAATATAAAAATAAATATAATATAATTTGTTTTCTAATTAATGAAAAAAATGTGAGCAAAAAAATTATCTTACCTCATACATGGAATCTGCTCTCTTTTCAATATTATAAATTCCAGTCGTGATTGAAAGATCTTTAATAGATCCAGATATAACTTGATGTTCGCCCATCAATCGAACTTTCAACAGGATTTCATTCTATACAAAAAGAGGATTTAATTAAAAAGAAATATCAAAAAATGTAAACTATTTTCAATTTGAATAAAAATCAAATACACCTACATTTAAAATAATACAATTTGAATCAATATCATCCATATCCTCCAATAGAATTATATCAGGTTTTTCTACATGTAAATTAATCGTAAGTTTGGGCATGTCCCCAGGTGTTGGTGTAACTTTCTTTTTGACAACTGTTTCTTTTTGCGACGCTTGAATTGCTTGTGATTGTTTAGATGTTTCATCTTCCGCGAAAAAATCTTTAACTTTCATCAAATAATCCAGGGAGACTATTATACTGAATGAAAAAACGCGAACATCAACTGCAATGATTTAATAACGATTAGACAATTTAATTAATTAAAATTAAATATAATAGGAATGATTTTAATATTAATCACCAAAAGTATCATTAGGTCCTTTTCGAATAGTAACATCCAACATGCTTCTGACGGAACTTTTTTCCTGCTCATAATTTTCAACTCCCATATCGGGAATTGCTGAAGTTCTCTCCATGATTCTAGTTAAACCACCTTTTCGATTGTGTCTAGTGTCATCTAAAGTACAATTCATGAGAATCACAGAAGTTGCCAGCAATCCATCATCAAACATACGGCCCTTAATGGCAAAATAAGTCAAGCCAAATGTTCCCAATCCATTTTGTGGCAAATGCAACGATGAACTTTTAGATTGAACCTATGAAAATATATTAAAACAAATGAAAAGGATATTTTTGTTCTATTTTTATGAAAACTGAAAAATTACCTGCTTCGATCCACCACTAAATAATTCTATAACTAAACTGTCCATTATAAATTCAAATTGAATCGACGTATGTGCCTGTTTCAACTTTTGAATATCATCTGATTCGACTTTGCTCACAATTTCTGCCTCCGTTTTAACTGTTATTAAATTAGTGTTATAATTAATGAAATAACAATAAAAAATATTATTTATAAATAAATGTACTTACAAACTTTAGATTTTTGAAGATCATCGATCTGTTGTGATTTTCTCTCACTTCTGGCGACAACTTTATTAGACTGTGCTTCTTCACTTTTCTCTCCTAAATTTTCATCCATCACTGTCATAATCATCGCATAATCTTCTTGACTGAGTAGCAAATGTATCTTATTCATTCGACCCGACATATCGATATCAGGCACTGACTTGAACCAATTTGTGGATAAATTTCGCTTCAAAAGTAATGTAAAACTCACGGGTTGAAGCAAAAGAAGCTCATCTTCTTCAGCAAACGATTCGACGTCCAACGTTATTCTAAAATTATTTAAAAAAAAATATTATTATTTATTACTTCAAAATATTAAAAATAATAAAATAAATAAATAAAATATTATAAAAAATTATTATTATTAAAAAGAAGTTACCTTGACAATTTCAAATTTTGTAATTCAACCTTCATTTCATCAATTACTGGATAACATCCTGCTTCGGTGGATACTTCCAATTTTTTGAAAACATTTCGAATAGTAAGATTACCCATATCTAACATTAAACATTGATCGCTTCTTGAATTTTTCGGTACATAAACAACTGGAGCCTGTAATGAAAAAAGTGAAAAATAAATAATCCAATAAAACAATATATTCAAATAAAAAAAATTTTTTGATTCAAAATTGTTGAAATTGCTTTTCGGAAATAATTACTTTAATGTTTACTGCCAATTCTATACGCGCAGCACTTTCTTGAACGTCTTTAATATTCGTTTTTGCAGCTTCAGCTGCTGCTGCAGAAGCTTCTCTTATTGCCTCTTGTGCAGTTTGGAAATTATTCAAAAAGTCCTGTGAATTAAAACAAAATTAACGTTTCAAATATATGGAAAGATCTAATTGTAACAAATACACTTTTAAAAAATTTTTCAAAAAAAATGTGTTTTTGAATTTTACCATTACGCTGGTGACAAAAGCATTAAGAAAAACTATTCTGTGACAACCCATCATGACTGTGATAGACATATTATTCTTTTCAGTTTCACAATCATCTAAATTATTCATTATCGCTTGAATTTGTAGAGCTTCCGAGTCTTCAACTGATACGATCTAAAATCATTTAAATCTTAAATTTATTTTATTCTAAAGCTATAATATTTGTTAATAAAAATAATGTCTTACGTTTCGATAGACTGAAGAAGTATTCAAATCTATAATACTAATCGAGGAAAGACTGACGTTTGCTTGCGAATGCGAAGCCTTCATAATATATCCAGCAGCAAGTCCTTTTATGAAAAAACTGGCAATGTCTCTATTATTACATGCCATTTTAATACCAATTGTTCCAATTTTAGCTTTTACTTTGAAATCAATTATCTCAACATGCGCTTTCTTTCGTCCTAAAATAAAAACATTAAAATATTAATAAAATAAGAAAATAAATCATTTAAAAAAATACATTAATAAAAAATTAATTAAAATATAATTATTTTTCAAAAATAACTAACGTGTAACTCTATCGCGTTGTTTTTGAATATGTTCTTTAAAGAAGGTAGTAGCGTCTTCTTGAATTGTTGTCAAATGAGCCGTACGACTAACTTTTTGCTTAATTTTCTTTTCATTCATCATTGCAGTAGTGGCACTTATTTTTTCCTAAAAAAAATATATATAAATTTAATTAACTTAATAGTTTTAGTCCTAATTTTAATCTCTTAAATGTTTCTTAAAGTATATAAAATGATGAAAAGATTTTATAAATATTTTTTAATCAAGTATTTTACCTGGATATTTGTCATAAACTTTAAAACGTTTATAAGTACTTCTTGATGGAGTAAAACATCTAAAGTTGTAAACTCCATTTCTAATAATTGCGATACTGATCCATGGATTTTGACAAATTCTGGGGATCGCTTATTGACCTAAATAAATTTACAAGTAATAAAGATATAGATAATATACAATTTAATTTGGAAATAAAATATATGCAATCAAATATCTTCTCACATGTACGTATCGAAGGATTATCAAATATTCTTCACTTCCAGTTGTCATTGGGGTATTAATCATGAAAACTTCTCCAATGTCGTGATATTGTTTTACTTGAATTCCTCCCAATCTCAACATTATTTCTTGATTATAAGTTCTTTGCAACATTTCCGCTTCCAATTTTAAAAGTTGGAATTTCAAAAATGGTAATGTTTGTTGAACAGTTTGTTTTGAAATTGTTACAGTAAGCTCTGTAAAAAAGATATACATAAAAGTAATTTAATGGAACAAAAGCAAAAACTATCTTATAAATAACTGTTAATTACCTTTCATAACAAATTTCGCTTCTAAATCAGTCGTTTGCTTAACAGGAGTAAAATCTTTTTCCTTCTTTTCCGGTTTATTAACAATATTTGAGAAATCTTTAAATAATGACAATTGGGACAATGATTTTGCCTGAAAAGAAAGGAGTGAATGAATAAATATTGAAATTAAATAAAAAAGAAATATTAAATTTTAATAAATAAATTATATTAATTAAATAAATAAAACAGAAACGTACCAAAGATGTGGGAATATCTGGTTTATCATCTTCCGGGAAAGGAATACTTTGTGCGATAGCGAGACCTTCCATTAATCGATTTTCTAAAAAAAGTGTCAATAAAATAGAGATTTTATTTTAGAAAAATTTATCAAGCAAGAATATTATTATTAATTTACCATCGACATTAATTTCCACAGACGGCAATTGTCCAATGACTCTCATTTTCGGTAAAAGGGGATCGTCCATAATGAGGCACTTGTGAAATTGAACTTCTAAAGTTGTTGGTTGAAGAATTTTCATTGGACTTACTGCATCAGATAACGCATTTCGCCAATCTTCATTTGGCATTGTTACAAGGGCCTAAATAAAATATTAATACATAAAATATTCAAAACCCCTTAAAATTAACATAACTTTTTAATTTAAAAATTTGCAAAATATCAAACCTGAAAATTTACAATCTTGAGAACAAATTTATCATAGCTGTACAATCTGAGATGGGACAAAATTTCTTCTTCACTTTTACCCATGCTGACTAATTGTTTAACAGATAAATGCGAAGATTCATTTTTTGCTTTTTCGAGAGAATGGATTTTTAAACTACCCAAATTAATAACAAATAAGGATTCTGTTCCATTGTAAAATCCACCATATGGAATTATTAATTGTGACGCATTTAGGTCCACCTGAAAGAAGATAACAGTTTCGTTATTAATTCATCTTTGTTTTAAATTAATAATAGTTTCTTAATTGATTTTCTTATCAACCAATGTCACGGGTATTAATATTTTAATGTATTCTTTCAACAGTTTTAAATGATTTTTAATCTCACCTGAATATCGAGGACGGAATGTTTTTGAATAGCATATTCAAGACCTAAGGCAGACATTTCTTTCAAGCCTTCCAATCGCTCGGCAGCGACTGCTTGAAGTCTGAAATTAAATTAAAAATAAGTAAAAATTTTCTTTAAAAAGATAGAAAATTTCAAAATGTTAATTAAATAATATACTTACTGATTCAATGTTGTTGGATCTTGAACTTTGAATAAATTGATTAATTCTATAATAGTTTGTGCATCATATACGATGTGAACAGATGCAGATTTAACAATTACTCGATCTCCACATAATTTATCCAATGGATTTTTTTCATATGAAACAGAAAACAAATTATTGTCTAAAGTGCCGCCTTCTGAATTAAAAAGCGATGGTATTTTTCCTCCTTGTTGGACGCCCAATAGTTTTAAATCGCCAATCGAGGCAGTGACACTAAAGAAATAATTTTAACTTATTAATCATTTTTAACTAATCTGATTTTAGTAAATTACAATTTTTTTTTAATTCTAAAGTATTTAGAAGCGAAATAAATATTTTATTTTAGAAACGTACGAAATTCCATTTGCTGATGGTCTCGATTTAAACGTTGCCAACACGTTATTAAATTGTAGATCTAAAACCTGCGGAGATTCCTTATCAGTATCAAGAATAACAATTTGAAGACCATGTAGGAAAAATTTCGTATCAATCATTTCAAATGTTTCGGGATAATGAGTTGGCGCTGAATTTTCTTGATAATCAATGGCACGATATAATTTTTCTTTTTCTTGAGCTGTCATCTCTTCTTCGAATTTTTTCACTGAAAATAAAGTATTATATACGTTAATACGATACTGAGAATAAAAACTATAAACAAATTACTAAATCATAAAAAAATGAGATAAATTTTTACTTATTGCTGCTGCAGAATTTAATCCAGCTTCTTCCTCCTCATTTTGTCCTGATCCCCATAGCCAACCACCGAACCAACCTTTTTTTGCCTTCAGATTTTTTTCCTTCTCTGCCAATTTTTCCACCTATTACATATGTTGAAAAAATAATTGAATTATTTAAAATATTTGGATTTTATTTTAAAATAGGATTTTAGTTTTATGAAGGCAAATTCTTATATTATGTAAGAGAAATGTGTCGCAATTATGGTAATTAGTTATCGCGAATTATAAAATTTATTTTCGTTTTAGGTTTCATATTTAAAGGTGACATTCTTTGAAATTGCACAAAATTATCATAATTTCACAATTCTTGCGAGACTGAAGAAACTTTTGAATCGAGAAACTTAAATATTCAATAAATAAATATTGAAAATAATTTTACATAACTTTTTTAGAATTTCTTCTGAAAGATATTTAAAAACTTGCCTCCATTTGAATTTGTTGTCTAATAATGACGAGGTTGAAAATATCTAATTTTCTTTCACAATCTGTTATTTTATGTTCAACATCATCGGGACATTTTTTTGATGTCAATTTTGTTTGATAAACATCCGCATAAGTTCTGCATGTATCTCGATGGCACTTCATGTGATTCCAATCCCAATTTCTCTGAGCTCTTCGAACATTTTCCTCCAATACACAGATGTAAGCAAAACGCCACCTGTTAAATTTGATCAATTATTTAAATTTATGATGTTTTAATTATGTAGTGAATAAAAAATTTTGCGTCCATTTACCATTCTTTATAGTGACCACGATAGGATGTTAAATTAGGTCTGTATTTTCTGTAGGGTGCAGCTTTATTAGCTCGATCTAATCCTTCGCCCAGCTGCATAAGAGCTTGATATTGTTTTTTCGTTAATCCAACTCTCAATTTTTGCATTTCAAGATCGAGCCATACTTTCGGTATCGTATAATTACTACCATCCGTTTCAGGTTTGGGATTAAGTTTCAATTTTGCTTTTACATTTATTGGACCCAGTACTAAAATATAAAAAATTAAAATCATAATTATACATTTAATTTAATCAAAAAAAAAAATAATAAAACACTATTTGCAAAATTTCTTACAATACAAATATCCTTCTGGTATTTTCTCAGCAGTAGCTATCGATTCTTTAAATATTTTTAAATAAGTGTCTCGTGGTTCTTTGCTGAAAAGCTTTACAGTTGGATTTAGATAAACAGCAAAAGCATCCATGGTACAGAGCTGTAAAAATATTTTTTCTTTATTATTTCTTTTTGGGAAAATATCAAATGAAAGAAAAACAATAATGATCCAAATTGTAAGAAAATAAGAAATAATTATTTAATGATTGACTCACTTTAAAAATTTGCTGAATCGCATACATGTCTTTTAGATTGCCAGTTGTTAGCCAAGAATCTGTACAACTCTCTAATGCAAATCTATTCAGTGTAATACCACATGAAAATGAGAGATCTTTGAACGATATATGATCTTCATAACGCACGTGTATTCCTTTAATTTCCACGTGGATATTTTTTATCATTCGGGCAATAAGTTTTTCCATCATGGAATCATCAACTTTCTCCTTAGCTGTAAAAATTAATTATTTTAAATATATTTTTAAATCCAAATGAAATTAAATTCTCAACTTGAAGATTAATATTTTGATTTACATTTGAGTTCAGCTAATCGTTTGCTGTTTTCCACTCTTGCAAGTTCAGCTCTTTTTGTCTCCAGTTGTGCTTTCGCTTCTTTTTCGGCATCATATTGTACTTGACTTGTTGGAACAATTAATATAAACAAATCTTCCACGATTGCATCGATTTGTCCATTCCACATATCTTTGAATGGAATCTTAAGAACTAATTTGCCTAAATAAAATAGATTTTTCATTAAAATACGATTGTTTTTTTGGAATGCCGAAAAAAAATGTAAAACATTACAAACCTAATCGACCATATTCCAATTTTATAGGTAAATCTAGCATATCAAGTGCACTTTCGTTTATTAATAAGTCCGTTAAGACTACATCGCCTGAAAGTAAATTATAAATTTTTTTAGATTTAGATTATTAAAAAAAAATCATTTCATGAATAATAAATTGTCCATAGGAATGAAAAAAGTCCTATAAAAATCCATTTTAAATTAAGATTTAATTATATCTTTTTTATGTTTTATTGAAAGTGGGTGTCGTAAAATTTACATAATAGTAAATAGTGGAATTAGGTTTCTAATTTATTTAAACACTTCAAGGACTTTTTTCTTTTACAATGACAATTTGTCGTTTTTAAAATAACGATTAATTGCTAAATTAAGAAAAAAGAAACTATAAAATACTGTATTATAAATAAATAAACGTATAAAAAAATTTGAATATCGGAAACATATTCGTAGATAAAACTTTTGATATGTTTAATAGCTGTAATTATTTTTTCCTAACGATCTAAAAAACTTATCTCCCCCTGAAATAATGTTTTAATGTCTCGTTATCATATACATTTTGAAAAAAGAAAAATATATTATCTTAAGTGTGATATAGCTGTAACAAAGAAAAAAGTTTTTAATATAATTAATTAATATAACACCCTTATTTAAGGAGTGGTTCAATTACATTAATTTTTACGAAATTAAATAAGTATAATTATATTCTCAATTATAAATAAAATTAATACTTCGAAATTTACTATTTATTGCAAATTGAATTAAGGACCAATAATCCAAGAGACACGTGTCGACATAAATAGTTGATTATGCATAAAATAAATATTATTGTTTACATATAGAAAAGAATGTATCATTGTAATTGGCAATGTAAACATTTATTATCGATATAAATATATTAGTTGGTTTTAAATACTTTTTCCAACCACGTGTTTCAAATAACCTTCCTCAAATTACAGAAAATTTATAGATATTTACAATAAATAAAAAAATTTCTTACCTCCCCATAGGCTAAGTTTTAATTGTGTACAATCCAAATTTTGGATATACTCTCCTAGAACTTTATTTAAAAGTTCGGCCACAATTGATTCAAAAACCATCTTGATTTGATTTTCAAAATTTGAAAACTACACAAAATAATACAATAAGTATTCTTTTTAAATACTAAATGTTAAATAACTGTCATTATTCACACTTGCTTCTTGCATTTATAAAAAACACACATATTTTTCATCACCATAGATTTTTTTACATTTTTAATGTATTATGTGTTTAAATAAACATACAAATTGTGACGAATACGTCCACACGTAACATCTAAATGACCATCCTTAAAAAAACTATGACATCAGATCGAAGGCAAAAGATTTTGTTTATAGATTATTTGCTCATCGCACTTACGGCAAATAAATATTTTGAGGTTAGAGTGACAAGTTGTCTGCTATAGCAGACGACGACAATAATCTTTTGTATCTGTCTTTTGATTAGTCAAATTTTCGGAGTAAAAACCAATCAGGTAAATGAAATTAAGAGGTAAATTTTAAAAATACATTTCCTTACAAAAATTAATATTATTACATTAAAAAATAAATATCGTAAATTAATAGAGAATAAAATTCAAATCCTATATGTATATTAATTACAAAAACATAACTTTATTACACAATTTTTCTCGTAGTAATACAAAGCAACCTATGATATATTGTTATTTTATAAAAACTAGTTTAATTTTATTAGAATAGTTATTGACAGTAACGATTGTCAAAAAGATAAGAAAACAAATAAGTAGGTATATTAATAAATTAAAATATTTACAAATTTCAATAGTTTGTCACCTACAAATCAGTCTAAAAAAAGTGGAGTGTATTAAATCACACACTCTTTTTTTTAAGTATTACGGCGTTATTGCTGACTTTTTAAAATATCTTCTATATTACGTTAAATTATTGCACAAGTTATTATCAACAATTTGCTAATAATAAATGCTAAACAATGAGAATTAAAATTTGTCAATATATGATTCGCTCTTTATAACTTTTGATGATATTAAAGAAACGATAATGTAAATTAGGTACTAAATCTGAAAAAATGATCTTTTTTAAAAAAATGAATCATATTGATAAACATTCGCAAAAACAATAGAGGTTTTTTTTGCAATAGTCTTAGTAGCATTCCCACTTTTTATAGAATTCTTTTCCATACTGATGTAAATTTGTATGTTAGACCATTCACACACAAATTCTAATTCGAATTCCTCAAGATCATCTTCCAGCGTAAGTTGGATTTTTAAATGTTGAGGTAGCTTGTTTGTAAATTGGATTTTCTCCCTAAAAATTGGAAAATATGGTTTCAGAAAAAACTAATGAAATAATGTATTTAAATTTAAAAAGAAGATCAATAATGATAAATAAAAATATTGATTACCGCATCCCATTTGGCCATCATTCTCTCCTTCTCAAATTTAGCGAATTCCTGTTTATCTTTTATTGTTGCAAAAGCTTTCCACGTGGCCAGCATTGCCACGCCTGTCAATACAATACCCGCCACGACAGCAAGAACAACTCCAAGTAAATAAATCACTGGTGGACAATGATCGGGTTCCTTTTGCGATTGAATCACCAACTTTGTTTCATTATAATAATAAATATAGACATATGTACAATCATCATCGCCTTTGAAATAACAAATAGTCTCATCATTCTCAATGAGAGTTTTATCAATTTTCTCCACAATCTCAACATTGATGTCTGTGCAATTTTTTGCACATTCCTCAGCCGTGATATTGGCTGTTTGATTCATTTGACACATAACGCATGGTTTCAATTCTTCACATTGATTCTTGCATGTAAGACATTTTTCACAGTACGGTCCCGAATATCGAACATCATCCTCCACACGACACACGCATTGTCCACAAACGCAATCTCCCTTTAAATTATCAAAAATGAGTATCAACAATTATAATAACAAAGTAAGCGAAAAATTAGTTTGACTTACTTTTCCTGAGCATATAAGATTAGATCCTGGTCGCTTGCAGGTATCAGTTGATGTTATACATTCACAGGCTTTTCCTGACCAGCCCGGATAACATTTACAGACTCCGTTGCAATCGCAGTCACCATTTCCAGAACAGTATTTATTATCACGACGATCACAAGAAAAATTGTCACATTCACAAAAATCACCCCATATTCTCTGAAAATAATTTTTAAATTACATTTGATTTTTGTTACGTGAAATAATTTCTAAAATATTTAAAAAGCAATTTTAGAATTAGATTCCTTACCACGTATTCATCGCTGGGACGATTACATTCACATATCCCACAGGTACATTCTCCTCTACCTGAACAATCGACTAAACTTGTATTATCACGCTTACAAGATTGCATATTATAGGGATCAGTTGTCGCCGTATTGCATTCGCATCTCTTTCCAAAACTGAGAGGATTACATTCACAAATACCACATTTATAAGTTCCACTGTAACTACATTTTGGTGAATTTATCTCATACGTCGAGTGATCTGGTCTTTCACAATCACAATCGCAAATCATTTCCAAATTAATTCTCAATGATTCATTAATGCCGACCTTAAATCAAAATATTTATTACAAACAAAATTGCAATTATCAAAACGATTACAATAATAATAAAAACTAATTAATAAAAACACTTACCGGATAAATCATAAATGTTTGATTCCATTCTGATCGATTTTTTGGACAATGAGTGGCAGTGATTTCAGCGATAAATTCCACTTTATCTCCTTTTTGTAATTTATCACATTTCATTGTTTCCACGAGTTCTCCATTTTTATTGAGACATTGCGACCAATATTTAATTTTCACAGCTTCACTCACCGATGTATCACGAATTTCCACAGTACTTCTAATTTGATTATACTGTTCTTTTATTAATTCGACAATATTACTGGAATCGTTTGATAAAACACCAGCTGATGATCCTTCGACATGTGAACATAATCTTGAATAAGTACTCATTTCACGCTGTGTCACTGCCCAAATAACATTAATTGCATTTTGTTTCACTTTTTGATTAATTTGTGAAATACTTGGATAATCCTGTAATGATGAATGTGTATACATTCCACTGAATGTGTCCAAATGACATAGGCCATCGTTGGGCTTTACAATTCCACCAAGTTTTCCATCGCCAGCAAAATGGAAACTTGCATCTGTCGAGAAAACCAAAAGTCTCCTGGCACGATCACGCCAACCAATTTGATCTTTACAAACAATCGCCTGCATTATTGCGTCGAAACCTCCTTCTGGTGCGTCCAAATTTCCCGAAACCGAAGCGCTACGTACCAAACCCTACATAAATAAATAAATAAGATGTTAATTTTCTTTTCTGTGATTTGTGGAAAAAATTTCTAAAGATCTTTTGATTCATTATTCACTTACGGAAAATCGGCTTGTATCGTCCGAAAGTGACATGATGTGTTTGTAACCATAAGGAGCAGCACACTTTGAACATGGCTCGAGAAGTCTATTTGGAAATAAAGATGAAATTAAAAAAATATAATTCGCAATTAATCTACGATTTTAAAAAAAATTAATATTTACTTCTGAGGTACGACGCTCACATAGGGCATTACGACTTTATCAACAAAACTACCGAATCCTAATCGAAACTTGCTAGTGAGACTACTCATTTCCCTAACAAGAAGATCCCCCAAATCGGAAAGTTTTTCCTTATCATCCTCCATTGATTTACTCAAATCCATAAGATAATAAAGATCCACTGGATAATCCTCAGCCTGGGAAAATGCAAATCTGATTTTCTGCGCCTGATCTATAAAAAAGAGTTTTAATATTTTTTCCTACAATTGTAATTTAAATAAAGATTCAGAAAATGGAATTTTTGATAAAAATTCAGATAAATATTTTAAATGTTTATTACTTACTGATTCTAACTTTTATATTAACTTCCTGAGGCGCTATCTGAACAGCATCGTGTTTTCCGGCACCGCAACAAGTCGCATTAAATTGCGAATCATATGTTTCTGTTTCCGTATATGTTGATTCTGAATATTGCATTTCGGAACTTAAATTTCTATTCTGTATTATACTGAATATATTTGATGGATAAAAAACATATTCTTCCTCGCAGAATTTTGATATATTTGTCCCTGGTGCGTAGAAACATCGCCGCTCATTCAAATCCTAAAAAGAATTAATAATACTAAAAATTCAGAAATGAAGATTATAAATTAATATTATTCACAATGATAATTTTTACAATAATTAATAGAAATGAATGATTGAAGAAATTAAATATTTAAACTGGAAAATTGCAAAAAATTAAATAAATCTACAAATTTTTAAATAAAAATTAAAAATTGTACTCACAGGTTTTATACACCAGGCACAGAATTGCGTTTGAATACATTCGTGACAGGTTTGTCTGCTAATGCAGATATTTGTTCCTGATTGCGACTTCACCTTCACACATATCATCCATATTATTGCTAAAGTCACAAATCTCCATTTCCAGTTACCGCACATTTCTGTCGCCTAAAAACAACATCAACTTATTAAAAAAAACTTTATTAAAACGTAAATTTCAAAATTTTCACACAATAAAAATCTTTATTTAACACTATAAAAATAATTTTAATAGACTTAAACAATACACAAGGGTGTTAGAAAATAATATCTATTTATAATCACTGACTCAATTTCTTTCTGAATCACTAATAATTATTCTTTTTCTTATATATTCAAGTTTTTTTTTCACTTTTTATGAATTTTAAATACAATTTTAAATTAATAAAATCTAATAAACGTAAAATATAAACAATTATAAAATTATTTAAACAAATAAAAATTAATAAACATTGTAATAGATTAGATTTAAAAAAATTCACTGGAAAAAATTGTAATAGTTAGATAAACAAATTGTCTGTAATTAATTATACTGACATGTAATTTATAACCGGATGGAAAAACTATTTTTATAATGTCTTATTATCTTTTGTGATAATAATCTCGTTCGCGTAAATGACCGTTCACCCAAAAGCTTATACAACAATTAAATTATTACTATAATAGATCTACTGTTCTAAATTTAACAATAAAAAAATTTTTAATTAACAAAATTTTACACAACAAATTTGAAATATCAAAAATTTAAGAAAATATATTACCGATTAATTTTTTTTTTTATAAAACTTATTTTTTAACAACTTTAATCGAACTTTTATACGATTTTAGGTCAGAAAATAATACCGGTTAGTCAACTCAGCAATGTCGTCATGTTTATATTTACAATTTTATAATTGTATATATATATATAGCATTTAAAAACTTTTTCTCATATAATTTCACAAAACTTTTGTTATAAAAAAAATGCAATAATAATGATAAATAATACGTTGTCACTCACTTTATCCTAAAAACTAAAAGCACTGTAAAATTTTGAAAGCGACAAACTTTCACAAACTTGTGTTTTTCGTTATATATAGATCACCATAAAAGGTAACCCAGGAATGGAGTTACACACTATCTCGAGGCGAGTCACCAGCCCACCCGCCAGAACGAGACTCACTCTTGCTCACACTCTCCATCCACAAACCGCCGACGTAATGATTACAAGTGAAGGCAACTCCTATACAGAGTTGGAGACTCAAGTTCATTCACAAAAGGAATGGCATAAGATGGATCAAAGTTTTTTTTTATATATAAAACTAATTCATATACAACTCCTTCTTCTTCGGCATCTTCCTTTTCTTCATTTTCATCTTTGAAGAGGGTCAGTTTCTATTTTTACCTATAGGTCACAAGAAATACATATTATATTATTATCTTTAGGTGAAACTAAAAGCGATTAGAAAAATATTATATTTCAAAACTCACTTATTGGATGATTTGCTTTTTCCATTCAAAATAGGGTGTTCCAGTCAATAAGTTGTATCAATTCTTTTTTTCAAAGGGGAGAGAAAAAAAGCATCACTAATATATAGGTCCTCAAGATGAAAAATGGGTCACATGTGTCATTTGACACCCAACCCCTCGACGAAAAGAATATTAATGATCCTTCTGAAAAAATAGTACTAGAAACCTTTCGATATTGATGAGATTTTAACAAGATATAGAAACCAATCTGTTCAAATGGACTTCAAATATATAGATAAAAGATAAAAAAGTTTATTCGAATTTTTATTTAGCCGAAATTGCATTTATCCAAACTTTAAAGCGAATTACAAAAATTAATCAATTAAATTTGTGAATAATTTATTAATTTTGAAATTCGCTTTAGTCTGATTTTTGCGAAAGCAAATCAAAATTTTGATAAATATTTACAATATAAATAATTTGTAAAATATATTTTATTTTACCAAAAAAATAATATATTTGAAAACTTAAATAATAGTTGTTTTAAAATTAAGGGAATTATTACATAATAATAAATTATTTCAAGGTTGTAAATAAACGTAAAAATATTAAATTTAAAAGTATAATTGAAATATTTATTACATATTTCTTAATAACATATAACGTTACCTTGTTATCAAACGTAATTAAGAATGATAATAATTAATAGTTTTTATTCCCAAGTCAAAACTGAGAATTGAACATTAAATTTACGTGGATACTTTTCTGTTATTTTTTGTGTTCAGCACTTTTAAATATATTTAAAAATAAATCCACGTAAACTTATTGTATTCTTTTAAAATTTCCCTTGAAAAATTAAGGGATTTCAAGTTTATTCAAATTCAAGTTCTGAGCAATTACTTAAAAATATTATTTTTCTTTTGATATGTATATATACAATACATCGGATCTTTTCAATTGTCATTTCAATTCTTTTTTTTTTATTTGCACACGTTGATAATTAAAATGCGCAATTATTTGTTTCTTTCTTTATTAGTATAAATACAATTCACCAAAGATATAAATATTTTCCCCTCAATACAACAAAAAGGAATACAAAACATTTCGCATTAATCAAATATTTGATTTTGATTTCCTTAATTTTATATAATAGCTATACAAAACGACTTACATAATATAAAGTATTTAATAAATTACTTTTTTATAATTAGAAATAACACTCAAATTTCATATAAATGGAAGAACATATTTATATGTTACTTAAACAAAAACAAAAAAAAACATTGGCACCGAATATTTATATATAAAAATATATTTATATTCCCTTTTGTCGATTTTACTTGTTTTTTCTCTCTTAATTTTTTCGAGGGTATTATTTTATGTACAAAACGAACAAAGCGAAAGATTGTAAACTTTCATTTTACAAATATTCATAATGGGTGATGGGAGATCAAAATTTCCCAATTGTTTTAATCACCGTTTGAACATCTTTCTATATAATATATATATAAAAAAAAGGTACACAATAACAATGGATTTTTCTTTTATACATTATTATTATCATTCAGTCCAGTCGCTCGAATTCACGACATTCTATGTTTTTTTTCAAATTAGTAACGATTCATCAAATAATAACTCTTGGTTTCAAGACAACTCATCTATATACGAAAAAGTTTCATAATGAACCGATAAAAAAAAACGCAACAAATTGTTATTAAATGTAAAAATAACATTTTTAAGGTGCTAGCTTCTTTCTTTTTTTCTCGTTATTCATGTGCTACAACGATAAATGTTAATATTGTATAATAATTGTTTTTATGTACAAGCGAGTCTCTTATGGAGGGAAACTCTACTTCTAACTATTTAACAATTCACCCACGATACATAAATATACACAACTAAAAAATAGGCTGTGATAAAAAAATAAATAAATAAACAGCGCAAAATATTTCAATATCTTCGTAAAGCTCGCGATAAATTGAACATTTAATTGTTCATATATTTGTTTATTTGTTTGTTGCAAGTATGAATAATATGTGCCGCGTAATCAAATGGAAGATGTAATTGATTTTAAGTTACGGGAAAACTGAAAACAAAAAGAAACTAAACAAAAAATTCAAAACATAATGCCTTTTTAGAATAAAATTTATAAGAAGTAAAATTATCTGTGCATTGAGAAAAAAAGGTTTTCATATCAGAAATATTTTCTTTTTTTTGATAATATTCATATATATCTGCACGTAATTATAGTATATAATATTTACATGTAATTAGCGCAATATTTATTTGATTTAATGAAGGCATTTTTCTTTAGTGCACTAGACGATTTTATTTCCATTCAGCATCCTCAGATTTAATGAAAAACCTTAAAAAGTACGGTATGGTGTATTATAGATTGTTTTTCATATAAAACAATCATACGTCTCGAGGTTTAACAGGATTCTCTTTGTTTTTTTAATCTATTGTCTATGTGACATGATTGTCGAATAAAAGGGCAAATCTAATAAATGTAAAGTAAATCAATTATTCTTGCCGATTTTTTCAAATAATAAATTTAATTTTCAAAGTGATCATTAAGTTGAAGACCCTCAAAAAATTTGTTTAATTCAATTTTTTTTCATCTTAAAAAAATTCTTGTTGGTCTAGATTTTAATAATTAAAAAAAGAATATTATCGCCCTTCTATCAACAATATGGGAAATATTTTTCTTTTTGTTTTAAATATGTAAGCATGCACATTGAAATTTTTAGAGATTCGTTAAAAGCTTGTAAGGCTACGCAATAACGCATACTGTATTTGGTGTTGTCATTTGATTTCATTAATATACAATACTATACAGAGGCCAAACGATCACGATTAACAGTCCAAACTTAATTTTTTTTTCATTATTTGAACAGTAATATTAGAATCGTGATAGTTTAGCAAAAAAAAAACTGATTTCTGATGAGTCTCAAGGCTAAAGTCAAAAAATTTATATATAATATATATAATATTTATCCGCGGGTAAATATGTTACAAAATGCCCCATGGCACGCACATGTTGCACACGATTGCTACGATCTAATCTCTAAAATTTATTAAAAAGACTCAAAATATAGCTTTCTTTCATTTCACTACGTAACCGTACTGCTTATAAAATCATCATGAATAAGAAATTACTATATAGCCTACCCGATGCGTGGGAAGTACCTTATTTACAGGCCGGTACGCACTTGAGAAAAAAAATGAAAAAAAGTATCCCAAACACGATTCTACTTATGATAATAACAATAAGATGACTTTTGTCGTCATTTATATCTCACATTTAACTAAAAAAAAAAACCAGAAATAATTTTTCACAAAAAATTATTTCAGATTATTAAATTTTAAATCAAGAAAAATATTAAATAACGATAAAAAATTGATAATTTGGAAAATATAATTATTATAAAACAAATTGAAAATCATACCTAGAATTGTATCGTAAAGATTCTTCATCACTTAATTTCTCCCTTATACTTTTATATTTATGTGACTTTCTTTCCAATCGAATTGACATTTAATGGACTCTGTATATGCTTACAATATATATTTATAATAGAAGGCTATAAAAATCAGTGCATTGTTGATATATTTCTCGCTTCTCTAATCGGGTGGATTATAGGCGGAATTGTACCAATTATTATACTTTCTCCTTGTGTGTCGATAATAAACTATTTACAAATTTTTTTCTTCTGAGCCAAAAACAATCTCTGACAAGAAGAGTATATGGAAAACTCTTCGTAATATAATATTGAGCAAAACTTTTTCCAGTATTTTTTTTTTTATTTTTTGAGAAAAAAGAAAAACGAGACTCTCTTGGAATTTGAAGTGTTGAGTAAAAAAATTCTTCAGTGTGGAAGATGTATTTTTTTCATTAAATCACAATTCCATTATTAAGAATCTGTTGTTTTTTTCCTCATATATCAGCACATTTTTAACTGTTTCTCAGCAGATTTAATTGGAAGAATAACAACTAACGCAATATGTAGTCTTTAATTCAATTATTCTCAGACAAATCGAATAATATCTTTTTGTCAATTTTTAACCCTCACTAACGGAAGATAATGAACTTCGTGTTGAATTAGCTGTATGATGTGTAAGATCAGGTAAATCTGGTGGCAGGCACAGAGGAATAGCACTAGGTCCATAAATTAATTCCTGTTCTTCCAATTGCAATGCAAATTGTTCTTCCAGTTTCTGTAACATTGAAAAAAATATATTTTATTTTCCCTTTATTTATTTATCTTCAAAATCTCCATCTATTTTTCTCCCTTCTCAAATAAACAATATTTTCTAATTCAAATTCTATGTCGACTAGAATTCAGATTGAATAAATTTATTATAATCCAAAATTTGTAATAACTAACCTGCTCAATTCAAAGACTCTTTTTCTCGTTCATGATCTTGACTACAATTTCTCAGGGATTGTTTGTTTATTGATTTTTCAGGAAAGTAATCAAATGAAGCGTTTTTTTTGAAAACGTAAAGCAACAACAAAATGATAATAAACAATAAAAACAAATTACCTTTTATCTAACTATTAGTACAAGGTACATATCCCTTTATGAAAGTACTTTTTTTAAATATATTTTCAACAAACCAATAATAGGAATGTTTATGGCACTACTACAAAAAATTTTTTTAACACTTTCTACCTGTGACATTAACCACACAAATGGAATGTAGTGACGGACAAACATTTTTTTTTACAAAAATGAGCTTAATTACAAGCTTTTAACATAAAAAAAAGAAAAGAAAAAAATACACAATTTTATCCTGAGTTTGTAAAGGTAACAACAATTTGAGGTACTTATGAATAATTAACATATTTCAAAAAACTACCATAAAAATATTTCAGAATGTTACCCTAAATTAATCATAAACAATATTAAAACTAGTAAAACAAAGAATTGCAAAAAAAAATAAAAAAAAAATAAAGCAATACTAAATTTAAAGATTAATATTCTAAAAAAATTGTCTCAAGAAAATTAATTTGTTTTGTTTGAATGTTTCTTGTTAAATGTATACGTGTAAATGTATATAATCTTGTTTAAAAACAAGACTAAAAAACCTCACAATTATTAAGGAGAGACTTACTCTATTCAGATGAGGATATTCGAAAAATGGTATAAATTTCTGAAAAAAAAACATTATGCGCAATAAAGCAAAAATCGATGAGAGAAACGTTGAGACGAAATATTTTTTCTATATAGACGAACAAAAGCGTGATGGACAAGAATTTTGCAAAAAACGATAAAATGCAAAAAAAGAAAAAAAGAAAAGAACAAAAAAAAACATAATCACTAATTACGAGGAAACGAATAAGGAACAAGGTCTGATTTAGAATATCTTCTGGAGAGCGTGCTGCTCAATGAACTTGTGTCGGAACCGCTGGTTTTCAAACTTACACGAGGTATGCTAAATGAAGAAGGTGAATTGGGAGTGGAATTGTGTGGGATTTTTGTTGATCTTTTTAAGGTACCGGGTAATGAAAGAGTTGAGTAGTCAAAAGTAGTAAGATAGAAGCCGCTAAGACGAGAAGGTAAATAGCCGCGGTAACGTGTCTCCAATGCTTCCATTTCAGTTGTCAGCTCCGCCTCTAATTTCTACAACAATAGTATCACTCATTTAAATTTTCTTTTTTAAAATTTTCGTTTCCATATACAAGAGAGAATGACTTTCTCATTCGACAAATACTGAGGTATAAAAATGTTTTATCCGCAAAATATTGATCTAACTGACCTCGTCCTCATCAAGAAATTCGGAAAAAAATATTTTACGATTAGAAAGGAACACGAAAATCAGGATGACTGCAAATTTATCTGAATTCTTATTTAAATATTCGCTATAAAATTTTGACATTTGTTTTATAATTTCTTTTTATAAAAATCTTTGACATTTGAAATTTTTTTTGCGGACATTCTGTAAAAATTAAATATCTGTGGAATAAAAAAATTGTTTACTTTTTAAAACCAACTATAAAATATACATTTCCCGCATTGAAACAGTCCAAAGAAAAGGATAATAATTATTATACTAACGTATATAAGAGTGAAGGTTTGCTGCATATGTTGACACCATTTATACAGGTACATAAGTACGAGTGTGGGTAGTCAAGAATGTGTTTGTTACAAAAGAAAAAGTGTAGGCACACATTATTCAAATTTTCACGACTTGGCGAAAATGAAATACTAAAATTAAAACTCACGCCTCTCAAAATTATTTAATTTTTGCTTCATATTTCATTAGTATTTAATTATATTGCAAAAAATCAAATTGTAATAAAAATTTGTCGCACATTGAAATTATGCTGGTAAAAAAAGAAGCTATAGCTTTGCGCAATCAAACAATAATTAGATGCAACAATTAAAAAAAATTGTAATATATTGCCAAAAGTGATAAAAATCTTGTCAAAAACAAGAAAATAGAAAATAAATACTATGAAAATAATCTGACATACCTGTTTACGTGGTTTCAATAGAGTTTTCCACTCTCTCAACTCCTTGGTATAAGCCTCTTCTTGTTCCTTCAATTTCATTGTCTCATGCTCCATCAGCATTTTTCTCTTCTCATTTTGCAATTGTTCAAGTTCCTTGATATTTGCATCGCACTGAGCCTTAACTTCCTCGAGTTGTCGCGAGTGCTTTAATTCAAAACGTTGCTGTTCCGCTCGATACCTTTTCTTCTCGTTCTCCTGGAATTTCTTCAACTTATCTCTCTCGGCATCTGGATCAGGTGTTGTCGACGTTATAGAAATTCTCATCGATTCCCTAAACATCATTTCTCGTGCCTTCATCTCATTACGAATTCGTTTTGGCAAATTTCTACGTTCAATTGTCTGTCGTTTTATTAATTCCTCCTCCTTTCGAAGATTCATTCGTTTCATTTGTTCCAATTCTTTTTCATGTCTAATCAACATTTGATGCCGTTGTAAGAAAAAGATATCCTTCAATTGTCTCTTTAATAATTGTTGTCTCTCATGAATTTGACGTTCCTCCAATTCCCAAATGGCAGCTTCACGTGCTCTCATTAATTGTTGTTTTTGTTGAAGAAATTGTCTCTCCATGAGGGCTATTTTTTCACGATGACTATCCGACAAACGTCTCAATGACATTTCATGATTTTCGTTCAATTTCTCCAAGAATAATTTCTCACGATCCTCGTGTTCGGATTCGAGTTTTTCTTTACGCACTTTAAATGCATTCTTTCGCTTTTCTTTGGGCATTAAATCAACTTCTTGTTTAATCAGTCTCAAATCTTGTTTCAGTCCCTCGCGGAATTGTTTTAATTCACGTTCTTGTTCGCTACGAATTTTTTTCGACGCTAACCTTAAATCGGCTTCTTGTTGTGTTTCAGCGCGTTCAATTTGTTGTCTCTGTTGTCGAGCGAGCATTTCTAAATCGGCCTCAGCACCACGTTCCAATAATTGTCTCTCTTGCTCAAAACGTTTCTCCTGATGATCTTTATTACATTGTGCTTTCTGCGAGAGATCTTGAAATTGTTTTTGTTCCATTTTTTGTAACATTTTCAATTCACGTAATTCCTGTTTTCTGAATATTTGATCATCATACACTTTTCCATTTTCATCGTCACCGTAAATAACACGTGATGTTGTGGTAGTGACAACAACACCATCAATTTCAAATTTTCTTGTTCGCTTTCGCGTCTTTTTCTTTAGATTCATCATTTGTATGTCTTCTTTAGTCCGCGTTGTTCGTGGAACGTCGCGATTATATTCTGGTTTGCGACGAAGAACCACTTCATCATCGATTTCGGAAGATTGTCGTGATTCACGGCCAATGTGATTTTCTTTATTTGATCCTCGACTGTCCTGACTGATGGTTGTTGAAATTGATTCCGCGTCTGAACGATCAACACTCTTACTCGGTGTATAAGATCGTGTTGATCCAGAATCACTGTGTGATCGAGAACCCTCGTAGCTATCTGGAGAAACACGTTTTTCTTTTTGTTGTGTTTTGAGATTAGTTTCACTTTGTTTTTGTATTTTTGGAATTCTATTCACATGCGATGGTTGATTATTCTTAAGTTGGCCATTCATTTTAATTGGTGCCTTACGTCCAGCATCGTCAACCTCGGTTGTATCAACTTTGGAACTCGCTATAATCATTGATGTTTTACTTGTTTCATCACCACTGTCACTGGATCTTTCAGTTGAACTAATATCACTCAATGATGAACCTGTTCGAACAACATTGCATTTACCGATAACAGATGAATCTTTCACTTGTTCTTGCTCGTCACCAACTGTAACAACTGAAACGTGACTAGTATCTTGTAACTCGTCCACTATTGGACTGACTATGATGACTTCGGATTCATCTAACTTTTTACCAATTTTCTTACTTGCGTCCGTAATGACAATTGATTGTTCTTGAGGTGTATACTCCAAACTATCGAGACTAGGAAATCCATCATCGTCAGTTGAGCTTTCGTTTACTTGTGTTTTATTTGTCTCGTTAGCGACGATAACAACCTCTGACGTTGGCGAGGAATGTCTTGGTGGTGGTGTTGATGATGCATCAACAAGAACTGGTGGATGAGTTGTAACAACTGTCACTTGACTCACATTGCTCGCAAGACTGTTTGACGGATCTGGAGTTTCAGTCGTGATCCTTACTGTTGAAGTGTTTAGACGCATTTCCTGATCAATTGCCGATTTTCCTAAACACAATTATTGATATAATTTTAATGAAAACAAACTTTTAAATTAATAAGAAAAAAAAGAAAACAAAAATTAAAACAATTATACACTCAACTTACCAGTAATAACAACAATATTATCTCCACTTCCGCATCTTGATATACTTTTGCTTCTATTAGGCGTTGATGTAATAACGGCAACATTAACCGCAGAACCAGAAGCTCTCCTGTCCCTTGTACGCTGTCCTGGTGGACTTTCACGACTAGGTTTTGAGACATTTTCATACGAATCATTTCTAGAAGAACCTTCGCTACGACATTTTTCAAGATCTTCACGAATCTCCGAATTCTTTTTAATATCCCCTGTTGAACTGGCTTTGACAGAACTCTTTTCTGAGAAGGTAGAATTTCGCGTTTTCGGTGGTTGTTTCGCATTTTCGGCAATGGAATCATTAATACGTTTTCCAACTTCCATTGATATTTGCCTTTCCAACACAGCATTAAGTTTCTCCTCCACGGATCGACGTTTCTCCTGAATGCTTTTAATATTTTCAATTGACGGTTTTCGTTCAAGTCTGAAATTAAAAATAATATTTAATATTTTTGGCTATACTATTATTAATTTTTAAATTTGTCTTACGAAAAACAAAAATAATTAAATTATTCAAATACCTGTTTTTCTCTTCCAATGAACACTGTTTATTTAAAACAGGTTTCTTCCATTCATCACTAGATACGGGACGTACTGGTGCGGATTTTCTCTTCTCCTCAATACTCATTTGTTTTTTACTTCCCGAATGTCTTTTGCCTTCTGCTGATTTTGGTCTAATGTCAACATTTTTCTTTTCGGGACTTCTTGCATTTTCCTCAACCTTTGGTGATTTAATTTTTTCCAAATTATCCATTGAAATATTTTTTTCAATTGACTTTTGACTTTCGCCGTTGAGATTCGACGAATCCTCCTTGTTATGATTTTGCATTGATACATTTTTAATTTGTTGTTTGTTATCATCAATTGCTGCCGATTTGGGACGATCTGTTATCTCAATTTTTGGAACATTTTCTTTCTCGTCATTTTTACTATCTTGACGTGGCAATGGTGGTGGAGGTGGTGCTGGACCTTTTTCTCTGGACAGTCTTCTTTCATTTGTCTCACCCGTAGCTGGCGGTTTTGGTGCCTAAACAAATAAAAACATTTTTCAGAATCGATATGTTTTTTTAAAATTATTCCTCAAATTGTTTCTTCAATTATACCTGTTTCTTTTCAACTGATAATGGAATATTTTCCTTAGAGTCAGTTTTTCGTATTTTCTTGTTTCTTTCTTCCTTCTCGCCATCGCGAGTAATTTCTCGTTTGTTGCTCTCTTCCTTCTTAACAGATACGGGTGGTGCAATTGTCGTTTCTTTATCATTAACTGTAATTAAAAATTCACATTTTTATTATTAAAAAGTTGATTAAAAAATGGAAATTTGGAAATAAATAATTGGATTATAATTACCCTTAACGTCAATGTCACTGCGTACAGATGCAGAGTCATCTCCGAGTTGATCCAGTTCCAGTGGAAGCTGTGACGTGCGCTGCTCCTGCAAGTCACAATAAAATTCTTTAAAAAAAAAATTAAATATCAAATAATTTTAATAAATTTATAAATTGCAAATAATTTTGCGATAAAAAACACAGATAGCATAAACTAGTGTTATTTTAATAAATCAAAGTATATGTAAATAAAATCAAAAAGAACTAAAATTATAAAATATTGATGAATCTTTTTCTCAATAGTAAACGGAAGTTTAAATTTTCGAGAAAAAATTAGTCTATTAACTTCCGCTTGCTAAGAGATTTTATGGTGATTTTGCTGCACAAGGCAAAGTTTAAATATATTATAAAATTTGGCGTATAAGTAAAAACAAAACAAAAAAAAAAAGATTGGAGAAAATATTATGGCCGATAAGCTACTGACCTGGCAATCGCACGGGCGATGGGGCTGGCGAGGCCCAGGAGAGCCGCATGCACAGCCGAATAAATAAAGTTACACGTTACAACAGCACATTCACGATTTATTTATTTTTTAATTCCATATTGTAATTAGAAATTAAAAAAGAAAGAACGTGAAATGATATAAAAATTGAATTCAAAATAATAAATTAATAATATTGCAATATATAGCAAAAAAATTGTGACTTGCATTTTTTTTATATTGTTATAAACTATTCATTTTTTTTCAGCAATAATTATATATGCATGACATATGATAAAACAACAATAATTGCATCTTCTTTCCTGCGTAATCATCTAAATATGCTGAAGCTAAAAACTATTTCGTGCAAATATATAATAGAAATCCAATGTTACGGAATTTTTAATGAATTGACATTACAAATTCCAATTCACAAAATAAAGAATAATATTTAGATTTCCCTGCAGGTAATTGTAGAAAATGCAATAGTGTCTACAGTATTTTATTAAAAATAATTATTATTTAAAATTTATATTTTTTTTAGCAATATTTAAAAATTTTCAGAGAAATTCAAATATTTTCTATAAAAAAATAATTTACATCTACAGTTAATTGTTCTTCTCTATTTAAAGAAAAAAAGAAATACATTTTTGAATCAGCCAAAGAAACAAAAAAAAATGGTGGTAATATCTTTGCTAATAAGTGACTACTATTGACGCTATCACTTGAAAGCAGCTTACCAATTCGCTGATACTGTTCTCTGTGCTTTTTCGCCTTTTTGGCCTTCTATTGTAGTGCAAGCGTGTAACAATGTATTTACATGTTAACCGTATATTATAATTCAAGCGAGCGCTCCATTTTTCTTTCTCGTTATTATTATTATAACTGTTATTCTCAAACATGCTATTTCAGTGAATGCAAAAAATACCCGAGATGTCAAGAGGTATTTTACGAAAAAAGAGTAATTTCAGTTTTATGAACTAGAGGGTTTTGTTTTATACGAAACTTTATGGAATTCTTTACAATGTATGATTATGTTAAAAAAAAGAGACAAAAAAAACCGAACAAAATTAAAAGAGAAATTAAAAAAAAGAAGAAAAGTAAAAAGAAAAATTTGTACCTCAGCTTCTTCGTCAACAAGTTCTTCTTCCACAACATCAGCCTTATATTCGAGTAATAAATCCCTAATCGGTTTTGAATCTAGAGTTCGATTAATAAATGAATGCTTAAGTAATTCTTCAGACGTTGGTCTTGAAGCGGGATCCTTAATTAATGCCTTGGCAATGAAATCATTAAATTCTTTACTCCATTTGCCAGGTTGATCAAGCTTTGGTGGATCGCTTTTTTGAATCTTCAATAGGACTCGCATTGGAGACATTTCATGATTTGGTGGTTCCATTTGTGCAAATTCTATTAAAGTTATACCTAGAGACCAAATATCCACCTGGCGAAGAACAAAATCACATTATTTACATTCTCTTATTAAAGTACAAAAAACAAATTGATAAAATTAAAACAATAGTGAAAAATTACTTTAAAATCGTAAGGATTGTCCCTGAATGTTTCGCATAAAACTACTTCTGGCGCCATCCAATAGGGCGTTCCAATAAAAGTATCATGTTTTTGTAGGGTTTGTTTATTTTTAGCCGAGACCCCAAAATCAGCTGCAATTGAGAAAAATTAAAATTTAATTAAAATTATGCGTGTAATTTAAAAATAGAATAAATTTTAAATTTATTTTTTTTTTACCTATTTTAATACCGCCTTGCATTGTCAGCAAAACATTGCCTGCTTTTAGATCCCTATGTATAACTTTGGATTTGTGCAAAAATGACAGACCTTTGGCCATATTTTGACAAACATATGCTATTTGTGGTTCGGTTAATGATTTTTCCAATTCAACCATTATTGAATCAACTGCGCCACCATCACAGTATTCAATTAACATCTACATTATAAATTAAGACGTTAAGTGAGTTTAATTCGCGTGAAAAATGATTCAAGGTAATTTAAATTATTAGACATTTAATTTTTTCCAATTCTTACCCATAATTTGCCTTCTGTGAAGAATGCTTCATAAAGTTCGACTACATTAGGATGCTTACATTCTGACAATATGTCTATTTCAATCATAAAGTCACTTAAATCATCTTCGCCATCAAGTGCACACATCTTTGCAGCAGCCAGCTGATGCGTTTGTTTTTGCTGTGCCTAAAATTAAAACAGCTTATTAATTTCAAAGAATTTTTTTATAATTTATTTTTTGCTAGAAGAAGAAAACTAATTTCAATATTCATATTACAAATCTTGTTTGAAAATTAATATGCAAAATAATTAAGATAGACATTTAAATTCAATAAGTTAAATATTTATTTTTAATTGATTTAATTAGATTTCAAATTCATTTTATTCTGAAATAATTTATTTCAAATTTTATTATTAACATTTTTTGAAAAAAATAGTTAGATAATTATAACTTGTTTAATTTAAACTGCAATTAAATAACTTCCAGTTAAAGACGTAAAGTTTCGTCGTAAAAATTATTATTGAACGTCGTTCGATATTGTTCAGTATAATAAAATTAGAGAAGAAGCTTTACAATTTCACGTGCTTATTTGTGTCAAGTAGAATATTAAGTATTTTTTTTAAATCACGATTTTATTACATTTTATTTAAAAAAGAAATTAATTATCAATAATATATAATTGAAAATTCTATTTTACGTAATTATTGGTATCACAAAATTTTTAAAAATCAATGATTAATAATTCCAAATGTGACAGAATTGTGTTAAATGTGTTATGCGGTTTTTTTTTATAATTTATCATAGCAATTACTAGTCATTATTAAGTTCGTAATTGATTTTTTATCAACAAATGATAAAATATTTCTGAATATTTACTTCCTTATCTTTTCTTACAATCTTGGGGGAAAATAGTATTTCTTATTTAAATAATTATTTATCATTACTTTATAAATTTATTTATACCATTGAAAATTGTTCAAATTTAAATCATCATATTCTTATTTTTTACTATTAATAGGACCCAAAATTATATTCTTCAATAAAATAATTTTATTCTATTTTTTCTATTTTTATATGTTAATAAAAAATTAAATTTTTTACCTTATACACAATTCCAAAAGCGCCACCTCCCAATTCTCCAACCATTTCCCAAAATTCTTCTGGATCGCAATCCATTTTGATGTTGTTATAAAGTTTTTTCTTCTTTGCATCATTGCCACCGAAGTGGAGTGCTTTCTTCAAATTTGATAGAAAAAACGACATATTGACTGTTGTAAAATTATTTCACTAGTTTTGATAAAAAAAAAATAACACACCGATGCACACCTCTTTTTTTTACATAGTGCACAAAACTAAAAGCATTCACTATAATACTTAATTGACGAAGTTACTTTCACCTAAGAAAATTATGAAAATATCTGTTAAAAGACATAGTCTCAATAAATTTTGAGAAATACCAAGTCTTTCATGATCAAACACAAGTTGGTAATTAATATTGGTTTTTGAAGTAATTCCTGATAATTAATCTTTCAATCAGCTTTAAAAACTCATTTGGAAGTTGCATCAGCTTCAAGTAATCTTCATTTTTTTTATATTATAAATAATAAATTCCAATTAATTAAATTTAATATAAATTGTTCAGATCCCCGTTAATTTCCAGGGGATCATATTAAATCTCTCCCGCATCTTGATAAAAAAAATCCTTTAATTGTAAAAGTAACTTTTAACTTTATTTCTCAGATATCCATTAATGTGAAGTTTCTGATCCATTTCTGAATTACAAATGAAAATCCAAGGCACCTGAAAGAAATGAAACAATTTTTATAAATCTATAATATTTTTTTCAAGAGTAAATGATATTTTTCAAATTCTTTTTAATTACTAATATTTTTCTGTTTCTCCTAATATTTAGAATATTATCATAATCATTATAGGAAACTTTCTGTCAGCCAATAATGACTTAATGACATCATTCCTTTTTGCTTTCACATACTTTCAATTTTATTGACTGTAAGTATTGAAAGATTTCAAAGAATCACTTCTTTTTTTTTGTAACGAATAATAGAAGAAATAAAAAAATTTACTGAACTGCAAAAAAGAAATTTTTTTATATTAACGAACATGAAGATAAAACTCAACAATTATTTGCATGATTTGATAAACAAGCATTAGAAAGGAATATAAATTGGAGAGAAAAAAGAAAGTGTGTGTGTGTATAACTGCAAATACTGAAACTTAAGGAAATAATACTTAAAAAAGCAAAAACTTTGTTAAACTTGGAAAGAACTTCTTCTGAAGTAGCATAATTAATGTGCTAGTAAGAAATTCTTGCAATAGAGAAAACTAGGACATGACTGTTAGACCAACATTCCATCCAAGAGGCCTTCTAATTTACCATTGGTCTTGACTTTCATTAAATAGTTTTTATATATTTAATTCTTGCATAATAGCGAAAGGCCGATATGTAAATATTTACTTACAAAAATCATTCGCTTCTACAACTGAAGTCAATGGCCTCATATTCTATATAAAATCTCAAACTTTTGCATCTTGGTTTTGCATAATCAGAAAATTGAAAAAAAATCTTCGTTTCAAACAAGTGAATTTTTCTACTATCGTTAGTTTATCAGTATAATAATTGAGATATCACGTTTATTGTCCATGAGAAGTTAGATAAGAATGATATTTTAACTGATACTGCGTCGCGATAAGGCAAATTTCGCTGGATCAGAATATTTGACATAATATACTCTTACATCTACAATTCTGATTAAATAATACATATTTTATACAATTCAAAGAAAATAAAAATATTTACTAGTTTCAGAAGGTTTCAAGCATTTTGGAAAAATATATATACTGGACGTCCAGTATCATCTCAAGTTTTCTAACAATTATAATTGACTAGAAACTATAAAATAGTTATTGTAAGATATTAACGTCATTGTTCAGTGAATCATAAATTCCTTTAAACACAATTTATGCCAATGACTTATTGCGCTTCTAAACGAACAACAGATTTCCGTAGACTATCAATCAAAATAGGACAAGAAATTTTTCTTTTAAAGGCCAAAGGGGTCGGCGAAAAATATTCAAGTTTAATGATTTTTATTTTGATTTCGCAAATAAATTAAATGTAAATTTCAACTTAGCAAGTTCCTCCCGTGTTACGAAATCCACTTTTGTAAAATAAACCTACGCTCCTCATTAATGAGTCGAGAAAAACAACTTTACCTACTTCTGAATAAATTGAATTGAGCCTATACAATTGAAATTATGACACAAGTCACCAAAGACAAGGGAATAATAAATTGCTTTTAATGTCGACTTTTATAAATTGGCGAATTTAACCCGTTCTTCTTCATCTTCTTCTGACATCGATTTTCAGAGCCTTTAAATAATATACTCTAAGGATTAAATTAATTTTTCTAGCTGCTTATAAAAACAGGCTCAGCAGTAAAATTGAATTATGAAAATTATTTCTTGCTAAATAAAAACAGAAACTGATAATAATCCACGAAAGCAATCTAAAGACATTCGTCTCGTGGCTTCCGTCCGTTCGTCCATTTGTCCAAACGTCTGTCTGTTCACCGATTGAAAACAAATCGACAGGTGCTGGTGTTTTAAAGATTGGAAATCAACAATTTTTGACACAATTGACCTGAATCCCTAACCCACCTTTCAAATTTTCTTTCTAACCTCAATATTAAATTAGTGGCCAAATGATGATTAAAACCGCACAACTATCAGGAGAAATTTTTAAAAGACCTTAGAGGACATCAGCAATCTCAATCTGCGAATGTAGCAGGCGCGTCTCCCATACGATCAGAAAACTTGGTTGTGATTTTTCTTTTTTTTCATAAAAAACTATATTATTCTGTCAACGTGATTGTTCGTCAGATACGATATGAAACTGAAATTTGAAACTTTTTTTTATTATTCTCAAAATGCAAAGTAAATTATTACGCTTTTCCGTGAGTGAAAGGTCATCAAGAAGAACTCACCTTATTTTGCGGTAAAATCCTTTCGCATACGCGAATTCCTCAGACTTCACTTTGCAAAAAACACTTGGCGTGTCGACGCCCTTTTTTCACTGAAACTTGAGTACGATTTCGTAATCACAATCACACGATAACATCTACATAGGAAAACCACAAATACGGAAAAATCACAGAATTTCGTACGTTTGACTGTTCATCACGGCCATTTTCAGCGCACGCACAGAGCACACACGATTAAACACCACGCCTGGAAGTGACGTAACTAAAATGCAACACTGCGCTCTAGTGATGATGTTTCTAAAGATCCCAAGTTCTAAATACAACGAATCCACTTTAGAATTTTCTGGAAAAAAACTTCATTTTAGAATTTTTACTTCTAATGATTTAAGTATGAAAAATAAAAAGTACTTACAGTACAAATTAATTAAATTACAGAAGGCTAAAAGTATTGGTGTGAAAAAAATTTCAGCCCAGGGCCATAAGGAGTCTTGATACAATACTGGTATTAGCTGGAAATTAATTTTTAAATTACATAAAATTAATAAATATTCTTGAAAAGAAAAATATTGTTTTAGAACACAATTAATATGAAATTTACTGCGAATTAACAATATTTTGTTAATAAAAATCAGTAGATAAGAGAAATTTTATCTATTTCGAGAAACTTTGATACCTATTGAAAATACTTTTGAAATCTTATATGTATTATCAAATTTTAATGTACTTTGTTACTATTTTATAACAATAATCGTATTTGTCATTTTATCACCAACAAATTATTTTAAAAACAATTTATACGACCGGCTTGAAGATAACATTACAACCATAACAAAACGTTTGGTAGTTTGGTATTTTTTAGGGTTATTTCTAACTGACATTTGGTAGTATACAAAGTAACACACTGCTACGCATGACTTACAAGAGCTTTCTCATTGGTCGAAATAACCGCTCATATTTGAAATAGCCATTCCAAACAAGTTATTTTAAATAAACGCGCTCGTTTCGACCAATGAGAAAGTGATTTGAAAATGTCCGCAATTGTATTGGTATTAAGTTGGTAACTTTGTTTTTATTAATAAAGGGGTGGGGGACGAAAAAAATTATTATTTTTATCACATTTATGTAAAAATGGCTGATCAAGTGTTAAGGGAATTAGAGGCTGCTGCCCAAGTTGTTTTAGTAAGTTAAATGTTTATTTACACTATTATAAATAAGCATTTAATGTTAAATAATTATTTTTTAATTCGACACGTTAAACGTACTTTATATTATATCCATATTCATTGAATTTTAATGTTACACCTTCGGGATGAAGGTTATGTTATCGTAGTCGAAAATACATATTTGTTTATTTTGAACAAATGGATAAATAAATTTCTTTTTTACTTTAATTTTGTATTGTAATGAATATTATAGTTTAAATTTTACCAATTATTTATCATTAAAGATATTGATTAATAATATCTTTTTTTCAATAAAGGAGAGAAAATATAAAATGTATAAAATTAGATTTACACCACTTTCATCACAATTAGCTTGTTATTTTAGGAATCTGAGTTTTTTTTATATTCAGAAGCTTTCTTTTCACTTTCTAATGCATATATAAATTATAAACTTAACACCAAAGGTGTTGAAATAAATTTTTCTTTTGAATTAATTTCTAGTTTATAAGATTTGTTAAACCTAATTTAACACCGAATTTTCTAATTCGATGTCAGTTTTTCACATTTTTTCTTCCAGGAAAAGATAAATATTGAAATTGAAAACAGTTGATAAATTGAAATTGTAAAACAATTTTATTGAAATTGTAAATACTTATTAACAAAGAAATAGATGTTTTTAATTTTAAGTTTAAAAAAATTGAATACTTGAATTTATGAATGAAAATTTTGCAGGCACCTCCAAATATTGTAACCGCCGAGCAGAGACAGTCTGCGGAAGCAGTGTTCTTGACTTTTCGAAAAACAAAATCGCCCTATGAACTTTGTCGACAAATATTAGAGACAAGTTCCGTAGACTATGTCCTCTTTGAATCTGCCGGTTTAATAAAATCAGCGCTAATTCGAGAATGGACATTTTTACCTCCAGATGATATTGTTTCGTTGAGACAATATCTCTTGCATTATATCATCAGCAAATCCACATTGGCACTATTTGTGAGGGAAAGAATATTACAAGTGATTGCAATTATGGTGAAAAGAGGAAGCGTGGAGGATTTGGGTGAAGAAAGACGTCGGATATTAAATGAAGTTGAAGGTCTCATTATGAGCGGAGATATGCCAAGGGTAATTGAATAATATTTCTTTAAATTCTTATTTTTGAAAAACAAATTTTAACTTTTTTTTTCTTTTAAAGCAACTTTTGGGATGTAGCATAATATCGTCATTAATGCAAGAGTATGCAACGACTGTAAAATCATCTGATGTTGGATTAACATGGGAGACTCATTTTAAAGCCAAGGAACAATTTGAATTGACTGATTTAAAAAGGATATTTAAATTTTGTGTTGGAGCACTCGGAGAATTGACTAAAGAAAACATACGAGAAGAGACTTTACCACTTGTCAAACATCTTTTAGCCATATCAGACAACATTCTCTTATGGGGATTCATTTATGCAAATTATATCCTTTTTATAAATATTTTCTACTTTTATTTTTAATTCTGAAAATTTTAAATACGTTATTTTAATTTAAAAATAATTTTTATTATCCTTAATTCCATTGCACTGCCAAAAAGATTAATAGGAGTTTTTGAAACTGTTCATGAATCAGATGTACCATCATTGCGTTTGAATAGTTCTTGGCAAGATGTGATTCTCGATCCGGCTGTATTAGACTTATTTTTTACTCTCTATTGGAAAGTGCGTACTAATTTACAACTTGCTCATCATGCAAGAAGTTGTCTTGTTCAATTGGGAAGTTTAAATATGTTTGGTTTCTCAAATAATGGCAAATTACAATATTTGACGGTGTATTTACAAAATTTTCTCAAGCTTCTCTCGAACATTGAAATTATCGATCAGGAAGCTCTTGGAATTGCTAGAATTATAAGAAAAATCATGACATTCTTCCAAAGTACATTAAAATCATTACCAGAAGATTTATTTAAATCATTTATGGAACAAATCACGAGATTAACTTGTCTATTTGCTGAAGGTGCTGCTCGAGAGGAATCTGTAAGTGTGTAATTTAAAACAATCACTTTTTGGTCTAACTTTTTTTTCCACTAATTTCAATATTATTTTTGTTTAGATGTGTGCAGATGATTGTTTATATATGGAAGCCTTTGAGAGAATGCTCGACATTTGGAGCACAATTACAAGCCATTATAATGTGTGTTATAATGAATTTAATGAAAATAGTTTTGTACAAATATTTAATACGTACCTTCAGTGCCACTTATCGCCTCCTGATGGTAGTAAAGGAACAGGAGGTAGAGAACTCAGCAACGAAGAAATTAATTCGTCCGAGGAAGACGATAGAACTAAATTTAATTATCAGTTACACAGTATAGGTAAATAATTGTTTTCACTGATTTTTTGCTTGAAAAAATAAGTGACACTATTTTTTTTCGTAATTTGTTTTCAGGAAAATTGGGAAGAGAAATTCTTGGTCACTCGCTACCACTTTTAGCTCGACTTCTTGAGGATCGAACGAGCAGATTGCGAGCTCAACTTAGTAGTATAGTAAGTCAACCTGAGACATTAAAAATTTCAGGTAGTATGTCTCTTGAAAACCTTTACGAAGATTTGCATTGGATTATTCTTCTTGCGACTCACGTTCTCTGCATGGAATCGGAAGGAGAAGTGGCGACAATGCCATCTGAAATTATGCGCTACAGCATGAAACAGGTAAAAAATAACAAAAATTTGACATACACAGTTTATAAAAAAAATTATAACAAATATTTTTAGGTACAAAATGGCCAAGTTGATGTAAATACAACGTTACAACTTTTGGCATCACCACAAAGTAATTTATCGGACATAAATGGTGCTGAACAATCAGCAGATCACGTTGTTAGACTGACAGCCGCTGTTTTTCGAATAAGCGCAATTGAAAAAATTGCTATTGAAGCGAATGCGGCACATATTTTGAGTCCCGAATTAAGTAGTACAATCATGTATTTTTTACACAATTGGTCATTAAATTATTTGATGCCAAATGAAGCGAATTACTCGGAGATTAGTACAATATTTTTGCAAGCATTCGGTGAGGATAGCCCTGGAGGTTTATGGACTGTTAACTTTTTATTAGAAAAAGTTCTCTATATGCTTGAGTCATTTAAAGGAGAGGAAACTTTAATTAAGGAGATTATTCAATTATTATCGGCATTAGCTCAATCACAATCCAAGTATGGATTTTACTTTTTTTACCCCTGGTATTATTGTTATTATTCTATTTTGTCTTAATTTTCAATATTGTAGATCTGGGGCTTTACTGAAATCCGATCATTTTGCGAGATTGGTCGATTTAGCGACAAAGGCACATTTTGATTTGTCACAAATTGCTAAACGAGGTTTATCGAAAGCAATTGTTCAAGTTGGCGGAGCTATTCAAGATGCAAATACAAAGGAACAATATTGGTTGCAAACTTTACAACCTTTACAAAATAGATTCAAGGAAATAATCTCCAATGAATCATTCTCGAGAACCTATCATCAGGAGAATGTTAAAGTTCAAATTATTGATATACTCGAATCAATTATTGGTAAAATTTTTTACTCCTTTTCACTTTTTACTAATTATTTTCTAATCGTTAATAAAAAAAAATCATTATTTATTTCAGGGGTCGTTCAAGGAGTTCAGAGTTCAACAGTTGATATTGTTTTTCAATACACGAGTGTTATTCTAAATGAACTTCCTCAACTTCTATCGTTATACAATAATTATGAGCAAGTGGTGCAACTTATTTTAGAATTATTTTGCGAGTGCTCGAAAGGAATGCTTTGCTATTTAACGGAGGTAAAATATTTCTTTTGTTTTTTTGAATTTTAAGAGTAGAAAGAAAATTAATAGTCATTTTTAAATTAATTACAGTCAAATAGCACACAAATGTTTCAAGCATGTTTGCATACTGTACAAACGTATGCACGATGTAACAGTAATCGATTGACTGTCGATACAACAGCTGAGGAAGATAGTTTTCAGGATATCCTTCTACTTATGAAACTTTTAACGAACTTACTCAGCAAAGATATTTTTGACTTAAGTCTCCCGGATCCTGATTCTAGTCGCGATCAACCTTTCACGTCTGTGAATGTATTTTTGTATGGTTTGAATATTGTGATGCCCATGATGACCATTGATTTACTTAAATTCCCCTCTTTATGTTTACAGTGAGTCTTTTTTTAATTGCTTTTTCGATATGAAATTATGTGAAAAATTATTAATTGGCTTTCTCCTTTTTATTAGGTATTTTAAAATGATCACCTTTGTGTGTGAAGTTTATCCTGAGAAGGTTTGTGCACTGCCGGCAGATTTACTGCAACAATTACTCGTCTCTGTGGAATTGGGTTTTTTCTCATTTGGACACGACGTTACTATTTTGTGCTGTGATATTGTCCATGTTATGGCCATGCATATTTTTAAGGAAATTAAACAAGGACGACCAAGGGGTCAACTCATGGCCCCATTTATGAACGTAAGTTTAAATTTTTAATTCCTATTATTTAACGTTATCTTCAAAAAAAAAAAAAAAAAAAACTAGAAAAGAAAGTGACATTTTTTCTGGACATTTTCAATCTTTTTACAGCTGATAATAAATCTCATCTTTAATCATCAAATAAATTCGGATCTCATATCTCACACGAGTATACCATTGTATTATTTAATTTGCTGCTATCAGGAACAATATCAGCAAATTGTCCAGAATCTCATAGCCTCACAAGCAAATTCACAAATAGCTGAAAGGCTCGCGGCAGCTTTTACCGAACTCACAGCGAATGTTGCATTAAATGGCGAACGTGCAACAAAGCTTAAGTTCAAAGACAATTTTGACAAATTTATTGTCAGCATACAAGGATTCTTGATAGTAAAATAAAAAAAATATCGAATATATATATATATATAATATAAATATATATATTGTCCATTGTACTTACTGTAATACATTTTTTACGACTCTGTCTCTCTCAGTAATTGCAAAAAAGAAAAAGAGAAAAAATTGTGAGTGTATACGTTTGTAATATTAAGAAAAAAAGTGAAATGATTTCTATACTAAAAATGGGAAAAAAGACGAATTTTCGGAATGTCTCAACGAATATTGCTTTCCGAATATTTTTTAATACAAGCGTACAAATAGAAAAAAAAATCAAGCCAATACATTCTTCCAGTCATCGAAGCTTGATAATATTTTTCAAATATAATCTTTTCAATTCTCAATAGAGAATTATCTGAGAGTTATTCTTTTTTCAATGATAGAAAAAAAGAGAACTTTCAGAATAATAATATTGAACAAGAAAAAAAAACTCCAATATTTTAAAAAATCCGAGAAACTCGATGTTTTTTAAGAATGATAATGCTGTGAAAATTAAATTTTAAAGTACCAGTATTTAGTCTCATATATACACAAAAAATTATTTGCTCTGCATTTTTACCTTCGACTTTATTGCACATCAAAGAGAAGGAATGTTTAAAAAGAGTAGAAAAATGTAGTTAAGCTCTAATTGTACCGTAAATCCATATTCAGTCCATTTGTGTCGTTATTATGCAAATTTATATATATATGTATATCATATAACAATGAAAATGCTCATTTTTGCTTAAATATTCTATAAATTTTTAATCTTTGACTGATAATTGTAGTAGCATTTGCTGTTTGTGGAACTGAGGAATCCAAAAGAGCCGAAATCAAAATTATATCTGTGTATAGTGTAATTAAAAATATTTCATATTGGTACTTTATAACAAACATTAAAGCAAAAAATTCAAGCTATGTTTTTTAAGTTTAAAAAAGACAAATTTAAAGCTAACTAAAGTCTTTAAATTCACTTTAAACACTTAAATCAAAGCAGAACTGATACAGAGAATATTTTTTCTCAAAGACAAAACTCGGATTAATTTTTCAAATTTGACAAAAGCATATTTTTTAGATTTTTTCGCTTGTAAAACAAATATTGTATCAAAAAGAATTTGATACAAAATCCATTGTTTATATTTTGTCGATTTGAGTATTATGTACAGTGATTTTTTTTTTGTTTATTCTTTTGTGTATTGAAAAAGTATATTCATCCATACAACTCCATTTTATTATTGTAAAATTGAAAAATCGAATTTCAATAAATCTGTACATACTACTTTGCATGTTTTTTCAGATTTCTTTTCTCTAATTGTATGTATTCTTTTTAAGATCTTTCTCTAACATTATTTTCTGAAAAATTTAAAATCAATTTTTAATATCTTTTTTGGTTTTTTTTAACATCTAATAAAATTTGAAATCAATTCTAATGGAAAGTATATAATGTAGAATAGTATTAATTACTGTAAATAAAATTATTTTATATTTACAAGAAGCTAAATACCAATTGAAAGTATTCACACATGCAACTATTTTATGTTTTTATTGATAATGTAAATGTGTAATGAATATTTAAAAAAAATGTATATTTATCAAAAAAAAAAGAACGAAATTTGTGCTACAAATATAAATGTGTCCTATAAATATAATGTTCTTTTTAAATGGTCTCTCGTCTTTTTTTTAATTTTATGAAGTTCAACCTATTATTTTATAAGTTATAAAAAAGTTACGTTTGAATTTTTATTTATTTTTTTTCTGTTTAATAAATTGTTTATAGTTTTTTAATAATTTATATCTATCAGTGGGTCAAAAAATCCATAATTTTCAGGAATTTGAATGAATGTAATTTTATTTACCCGTTTTTTGTGCAATTATTCTTTTGCACATGTTTCAAACAATATTTTATAATGATAAACATGAGATCAGTGCTTATATTATTAAAAGTGTAACTTGAATATTACAATATCAATCCTAGAATTATTATGTTCTAGATATGTATATAGCAATTCGTCAAATAAATTATCGAAGCTTAAATAATAAATCGACTATTATTATTTTGTTGTTATTAATTCTTATTATTATTAGTTACAGACATTTTTTTTGTTTTTCTAGAAAGAAAAGAGAATTCAATAAAAATTATTGTTGAATCATTATGGAAAAATTTTTCTTTGAGGACCAATTATTATGATTATTTTGAAATACATTTTATATAATAAAATTTTAACATTTATACAACACGATAAGTTGAAAAATCTAAATTACTAAATAGATATGCTTTGGATATAAATTTTAAGATTATTATTTAATGTGAATGTAACTTGATTAAAATCCTACAAAGATTATACAGGAAGAAATACCCTGTAAGTGTTAAGAACAGGGATTGATTATTGTCTATAATATACATACAATAAAGGTACACCAAAAATTTTCCGAGATTTTTTGAATTAAAATTTTTTATGTTATATATATTTACAAATGTATGAGATATTATTTGTTTGAAAATTTATTTTTTCGGATTTATTTAAGAAAAAAATTGAAATTACAATTAGAAATTTTATTAGATCAATGGAAAAAAAAATATTTCTCGACTTGAATTTTTGGTGTATCCAAATGGAGTATCCAAAATTTAGTGCTTAGCTTTCGTGGAAGAAATTTATTCCCTTTCTTTTGTTTCGTGACTAGAATTCAACCTCGCCATTATTAATATTAGATTATTGTATCAACATTGGTCACCAATATTTCACAAAATTCAAATTTCTTTTCACAAAACCTAATTCTTTGGTACATGTTATTTATTAATTATTTATTCTTATGAAAAAAGTATTATAAGAAAAGTAATATATAGGCATATAATAAAGTTTTAAATGATAAAGTTTTATTTTTATTAAGTGACGATTACTTTTGTTATAATATTTTTTTCGGCAAGGAAAATATTAGTTTATGAAGAATACATTTAATTTTGTTAAATACTTATTACGCAATATGAGTATTAATAATTATTAAATATTTAAAGCCATAATATAAAGAACCCTGATTAAAGTACACTAATATGTTTCAAAATTAATTAATATTCTCATCGATAATTCGAATGAGAAAATTGTAACTCAGTTGGTAGTAAAAAAATATTTAACAAATTCTTAAACAGTAAAATTTATCACATTCATAATTATAAATAAATGATAACACATTAGAATTAAATATCATTATTAGAACTAATTAAATTAATTATATTCAACTTTAATTCGTAAATTTTAATTTAGAATTTAATTATTATTTAGAAATTCCATTTTAATTTATGAATTTAATTACAATTTACAAATTCAATTTTAATTTACAAAATTCAAATTCTTTTGTTATTAATTAAGTAATTCATTATTTTTTTAATCACTATAAAGCAATACACTGTCGGCTGTCCATAAATATTTTTTTTTATATAAGAAACTGCTTAAGACAGTTTAAGTATTAGAGTATAAAATATTGAAGAAAGAGTGAAAGAATGTTTTTTATATTTCTCTAAAAAGAAATTATTAAATTCATCAATATTATCACTTGGTTGATATTATAATAATAAAGACAAGAAAAATTGATTCTCTAAGTCAGTTAATGCTGAAAAAGAAAGAGTTAAGTCTTAAAAATATTTTTAAAAAAAGAAGGTATAATTTAATTATTAAATAATATTTTTTGTTTAATAATTAATATTAAATCTGAAAAAGAAAATTATTTAAATATTTTTTCTTGATATTCAAAAATATAATACGTTTGTTAAAATATTGTTTTTTTTCTAACAAAATTCCAAATTTTAATAAAAATTAACAATAGACACATTAATAAATTAGTAATCAATTAAATGCGACTTTTTCATAATATTTATCACAACATTTTTTAATAGACCCGAAGTATCGATTATTCTTCCCCGAATTATTATGTATTAATATTGTTATCTCCAGACTCTATTAGCATCATATTTTTTTTATATTTAAATTGGTAAAAATACTTGTTCTCTTCAAAAATTTAAAAATTTTCAACTTTTTCGAGAGACGAATAGAAAAATGAGTAAAATTTCAAAATACTTGAAGAGAAATTTTATATTAGAGAGACATGATGAATTTTATCTGTAACAGATATGCTTGATGATGAATGGATAAAAGTTCTTTTTTTTCTGTATAGAAGATTAAAATACGTCGTTATAGAATAATAATAATAATTTTTATACTTATTGAGCTTTGTATCTTTCCGTGAATTGTTGAACCCACCGTTTGGTCAAATTTAGGTAAAAATTAGGACCTTCTGGTTCATAATCTAAATATGTAAAGTCTTTGTTACTTGCTGGTTTTGCTGGTTCTATTTGTGTTCCTTCATGCCATTCATTGAATGAAGTTATTGAAATTGTCGTTGCTCCGCTACTTAAAGCAGTTCTCCATGCAACTTCATAATATTGTCCATGACGACGTGGCCTCGTGTTATCCATGTTCCAAGGACGTACCTCAAATCGAAATTCAAGAGGAAATTATTTTTTTTTATTTTGCAAAAATAATTATGATTTCAATTTTTTATTTTCTTTTTGAATTTTTTTTATACCTGTGTATCTGCATAGCCGGGCCCAACACTTGGAATAAAGAGAAGTTTATTTTGAACGGCAAATTTATTCAAATCCTTCCAATTTTTCCAGGTACTTCCATAGCTGAAGCCATTTACCGCGAAGTAAGTATAAAATCCATCAAAATGTGATTTTTTAATATGACTTTTGTGCTGAGATTCCACTAATAAACCTATATAAAAAGCATCCATTTCTGAGCCTCTTAAAGTCAAATTTCCTCTCTCCGATAATAATTCCCACCAAGCACTGGATGGAAAAACGTACGAGTCGTAAATGTAAATAACTGGTAAAATTGCTCCACTGAAACATTTTAAAAATTCATTTATTTTCCTATCAAGATAACGTTTACAAAAAAAGTATCAGTTTACTTACTCGTCTTCTCTTTTTAGTCTATAAAGCGCAGGATGCGATCCATAATTTGTGAATAAATATTTTATATGATCCAGTAAATTAATTGGATTCCTTCCCTCGTATGGTTCTATTTGTGGTGCAACTTTTAATTGATAACGATGTGCTGCATCCAATAAGTCTGGCATTAATATGTCAGTATTATCGGCGACTGTTTGAGGAGTCCATGAAACAATTGCAACGCCAATTCCCGTGTCTTTTAATTGCTTCATATGCAAATCAATCACCTGTAAATATAACTTTCATTAAAAGCTTTCCTATTTTAAAAATGAATTTTAAAATGATTTCATTAACAAAATATGGACATCATAATATCGATTAAAATAGATAATAAGTATTTAATTACTTTGGGATCAAAAGAACTGTAACAACCCAAATCAGGATAAAAATTAGCACCAATATCGGCCGGGGGATCATGACTTCCTTGTGGAAAGATTCTTTTATCATTTTTTTTCCAGTTTGGCAAATAATCATGATTCCAATGCTTCCAATTTCCATCGTATTCCTTGGATCGATACCAAGGATAATAAAATATATGAATATTATAATTGGGTTCGACAATAACGGAACTATTTAAAAGTGGAAGAATCTTATTTCTCATACGTCGTGACATACGAGCAATTTTATTTTGAACACTTTTCTCTCTCATCTCTTTATATCTTCTGTTGTTCATTTCCTTTTGATCATTATTTTCAATTACTTTCGGTGTTGTTATAGGATCAATTTGTTGATTCACAACCGTACTCCATTCGACACCCGGTGTAACCGGATGAGGTTGACATTTAATTGATTCCAATGGTGTTAATTTTACAATTATAACTGCTGCCATTAATGTTGAAAGCACCAAAACCACTGCTGACAAGTAAAAACATCTCCTCAAGGAGACTGATGTCATTACTCCAGTAATCATTGTGAATGTCATTTTTTATACTTTCTTTAAAATATACTTGTATATTAATTATATTTAAAATTTTATATCAGTCGAAAGCTGAGAAAAAAAGATTAATGGTCAATACGATAAATGATAAATTAAATAATACAAATCCACTGAAAAGAAAGACAATATAAATAAAAACTAAAAAAATTATAATTAAAATAATTTTCGACAAAGAATAGTCATTGTTAAATGTAATATTAAAATACAAATATGTTATAAAAAACAATTTTTTCTGAAAAAATTAGAAACAAATTATTATAACGAAAAGAAGTAGGAATTCAAAGGGTAAGGAAAAGTGTGCTTGAAACAATAGAAAATCAATATTGTTCAGGATGGCAACAATATATAATAACAATAATAATAATTTCTGATTTGAGAACTGTATTATAGAAAAATATTCAATAAATAGTAAATTATAAATTTAATAACTTATAAATATATTAATAATAAAGAATAATAAGATATTACTTAAATTAAATATATAAAAATAGAACTTATAAGAAATAAATAAAATACAGACATGCTGGATTATAATTCGGCACCTTTAAGAATTGCACGTTTAAACACTATTACTTTAGATTTATAATGTTTAAAAGAACATCACTATAAAATTTTAATAATATTATATAGTCACTTTCAATAAAAGCACTTTATCTATATCACAAGTTGTGGGGAAATGATCTGCACTTCGGCAAAAATGCGGAAAACTGCAAATGTTAAAATTATTGTAAAAATATTTTATAGTAAATTTTTATTGTGACACTTTGGAGAAAATTTTTGCAACGACACAACTTACGAATAAACTCAGTTTTATAAGAAAAGAAAGACAATGAAAGAACACGAAAGAATTTGACACATTTGACATGAGATCCGCAGCTAAACTAACCTCTACACGAAATGCATATCGAATTTCTCGAACTGTAATCGAAACTGCGATTTAGCGCGTAATTTGAAATATAATTAGTATACTGTTAATATAATTGATAATATTGTTTCAAATTTATTAAATATATGTACTGAATATTTATAAAAAAGAATTATTATTGTTATCTAACATAATAAAATGTTATTCACTGTAAAAAAAAAAAACAAAAGACTGAATCGATACTATCGCAATTTCAAAAGCGATTCCAACAACAATCGATACTTCACTTGGTCACATTGTTGACTTGTCTTAACAATTCTTTAATTAATTTAGTCAAAATGGTCCGAAAATTAAAGTATCACGAACAAAAATTATTAAAGAAGGTCGATTTTATTTCATGGAAAGCTGATAATAATTTACACGAAGTGAAAATCTTGAAACGTTATCGTATTCAAAAGCGTAGTGATTACACGACGTAAGTACATAACCTATAAAACTTAAGTAATATATTTACCATTTTTATAATTGTTATTAATTATTAATACAGATAATAATAGTATATTAATTATTATAATTAATCAGTTTATTATTATATATTAATTATCTAATAGATTAATTCACTATTACATTACAGATATAATCAATTAGCACGTGAAATTCGCGAAGTTGGTAAAAAAATTAAAGAAATTGATCAAGATCATCCTTTTCGTTCCGAACAAAGTGCTATATTACTTGAAAAATTATACATGATGGGCCTAATTCCTACAAAATGGGACTTATCACTATGTCAGAAAGTAAATGCCAGTTCGTTTTGTCGACGACGATTACCAGTTTTAATGGTTCGAAATAAAATGAGTGAAAATTTAAAAATGGCAGTACAATTAATTGAACAAGGACATGTACGAGTTGGTGCTGAAGTAGTTAAGGATCCAGCATTTCTTGTAACGAGGTAATTTCTGTTTTTTGTTTCCTAAGATTTAATATTGGTTTGCTTTCTAATAATAAAATTTTACTGAGATTAACATTTTAATTTGGAACATTTATTTAAAGAAATTTGGAGGACTTTGTAACATGGGTCGATACATCAGCAATTAAGAAACATATAATGGCATATAATAATGCTGTAAGTAATAAAAAGTTTCTTTTGATTACTTTCTATATAAAAAAATTGTATGAAATTTGATACTTGTTTTTTGGATAAAGATTACTGAATTGAATTTCTTTTACAGAGAGACGATTTCGATGCCATGTAATAATTCAAAAGATTCTTAAGAAACTAATAGGATTAATATTGTATATAAAAGTTGTTTTTATACGTGAAGTAAGTTAGAAGTAATTTCTAATTTTTTAAAATAAAAAAATTAATTTACAGATAATTACTTAAATTTTGTTTTTTTTATTAACAACATGAGAAAAAGTAGATTCCTCTTTGATCTACAATTTTGTTTCCTTTCCTCACCGAAACGGCGTGTTTTGTATAAAAATAAAACAAACTATAAAACGTGCAGTATTCAGTATACGATTCGAATGAATTATCAAAATTAAAGAATTAAAGAATAAATATATATGAAAATGTCGAATACGGAAAAAACTAATGTAGCTGAATGGATTCCTAAAGTGACCCCTAAAATTGATCAAGCTGATTACAGTTTTCTCTATGAAGAGAATACTCATGAAACTCCCTATGAAAAGTTAGTTCGCAAGTGTAAAGAAACTCCAACAGTACCAATTGGTAAATATATATTTTTTTTTATTAAAAAATTATTAATCTTAAGTAAATTTATTTTTATATTTTTCTATCGTGTTAAGGTATATAATGTTTTGTGATTTAATATTGCGTGCGAAAAAAGGCTAAACATAACCTATCATAATAAACAAAAATAGAAATAATCTTATATAGCTAAATAACGCAATTTATTTAACTATAATACTTTATAAGAAAAGTGTAATAGATTTTAATTTTATCTTCAGGTATTTTGGCAACGATAGGAGCACTGACATACGGTGTTATTCAATTAAAAAGAGGCAATAGTCGACAGCAACAATATGCTATGCGTGCTAGAGTTACTTTCCAAGGATTCACGCTTCTTGCTATTGTATATAGTATGTATATTCAAGGTAAAAAATCATTGAACAAAGTGAATGAAAGGAAATCTTAAAAATATTCATGCCGATTTTGATAATTAACGAAAAATAGTTGTATATATAAATAGGTCATTAAGCCGTTTTATTAATTTTTATGATCTTTATTATACAAAACAACTTGATAAAAGTTTACGTTTGTATGTGAATAAAAATAAGAACTAGAAACTGTAAAATAGAAATCATTTTACTGAACACTAAATAATATATAAGAAAATCTATTTTCGAAAATCAATCAAATGAAAATCAACAGAGTATATATTTTCTAATTGGGTTTATTGATATTTATTTCGTATCATAAATCACAATAAATTGAATTTCAAATAAATTTTCAAAAAAAAGAGTATGAATATTCGCATAATATTGACACTTTATAAATTGTATCATTCTAAGCAAAGTTTTACATATATTATCGCTGAGAAATACATTAAATTGTGTCTGTATCATAAACTCAATATGTGCTAATTACTGACTCAATAAATTCATTAACAAAAATCGTAATTCACAGCAGTGATACCATTAAAAAAAATATTACACTTAGCAATAATATTCTACACTTTTCTTTAATATTCATGGTAATCGTAACGTGAAAAGAAATAAAGAAATATCGACCTAAAAAATAAGAGCAGGGGGTCATGGAATGCAAACCGTAATAAAAATTATTGCTCGCTTCTTAAATTTTTATTCACGTCATAAAAATACTCGAAAAACTCAATTTATTACGTATTCACAAAAAAAAAAAAATTTCTAATTCATTTAATTATTGAAAACCAAATTAATTGGTTAATTTTCGGCAAAAAGTAAAATAAAATTGCCTCACCGAATTCAAAAAAAAAAGCCATTTTTTCCATGCAAGCTCATAAAAATCAAACTTCTGGAAAATTAATTACGTTTACATTGTTAAATACATGATCATATTAAACATATAATCTCAATATTGTAAACGATTTTTTTCACCTGCAAAAATTTTCTTAACGCAAATAAACCTAATTTATTCGCATTAAGTTTTTTACAAAACACAAAATTAAATAAATTTTTTTTACATGACATTTTATAACTAAAAAAAAAACCTTGAGTATGTTCGGGCAATGCCATAATTATTGCTATTTTTTTGAGTGTCTTTTTCACTTCTTTTTTGTTTTCTTTTCTTTTATACATTTCTTTTCAATCAGTCTTTTCAAGTCGAGTAGTAGACTATGAAGATAATCAAGTCTCTTTGTCGGAAACTCCTACGCAAAATACAATATATAATTGTCCAGCAAGTCGTCCTGGTTTCTTGTTCCACAAGAACAGATAATTGCTACAAAAAAAAGTCTCTTGGAGACTTTTTTTTAAAATATATTGATATTGGTAAATTTTATCAACCTAATCGTGACTTTTGTTGGAGAATGGCCATAAGAGTTTCGAGTTTTCGTGTTCCACTGGTACTATGGGAACGCAATCTCAGTGTTGATGAATTTGATGATAATCCGAAGATTTCCTGCACCGTTGGTCGCGAAGAGGTATAATCAGATTCTGAAATATTTAAATTTAGTACTTATTTTATATTTTCAAATTTTTTTTAATTTTCTCCACGCTTTCTTTTTGAAAACATTTCTACGCTAAAAAAAACTTAATGAAAATTTGTGACAGAAAATTGTTATGAACAGCATAAGACAAAAATCAATGAATTATAATTAATTTTATAAAGTTTAAATTACTTATCAAGTAAACATAAATAAAATTTTTAAAACATATATATTTTAGAAAAAGAAAAACCACAAACCAATTAAAGGTGTCTCATCGTACAATGATCCTTGCCTCTTATTTCCTATAAATGAATTTCTAGCAGTATCGACACAAGGTACATTTTGCAGAGATTCGGCAGCATGTTTCCATCTAAGATGATCCTTGACGTGAGTATTTAATTGTCTCAGCCATTTTTGAGCCTCTTCACTCGAATCTAATTTAATTGTTGTTGTCTTCTCAGCGCCATCGATAGTGTTAATAATGCGTAATTCTTTCGAAGATTTTGATGGTTGAATAGAAGTTTCCTGAAAAATTAATTTGTCTTTCAGTTTTAAATTATTTAAAATTAAGCAGGAAATTAATTGAAATTTAATTGAATTTAAATTTTGTCAAAAATATAATTAAATAAAAATTATATTCACTCTATTAACAGTGATGACATGAGCAGGACTTTGATCTTCTTCAGCTAATTTTCTCGATTCCCAGGTTTGTATTTCGAATCCCTGTAGACGAGCCCAACAATTTCGGCCATTCAAATTAATATTTCCTGTACATATTTCCTTGCTCACACAGTCTGGTTGAGCGGCCAGACGACAGCAAAAATGTCCAAACAGAGGTAGAGCGTGATTTTTATTTTCTATAATAAAACATAAAATAAGTAAACTATAAAATAAGAAGAAAGAAAAACTGAACTTGAAATTAAATAATTTACCTAAATTGTTAATGACCAAATCGTGGGTATGAATATTATCATCTGTGTCGTCCAACGTTAACCTTGCAGATGCCATTAATTCAAATTGTGGTCCCCTGAAATAATCATTATTAATTTTCTTCTTTGGTTATTATATGAAAAAAAATAATTTGTACATTTGATGTAACTCACATTTTTCCCGAGTTAAGTTCATCACGAAGGGAAGCAGCCAATTTTTTACCAACGGTTTTTGAAATCGAGGAATGAATTGTTCTTTTGATTCTTCGCGGTGTACTCGCAATACTCATATCTTCCTGAAGTATATGACTGTAGATCTCAAGTGTCAATTGAAAATCTGCTGGCACGTTATTACTGTAAAAGAGAGAATAATTTTTTAAAAATAATTTTAAAAAAATTGTCTATTAATTTCTTTTTTTCTAATAAAATATACTTACAATACTAGTACATCTGGAAAGCTGATATCAGTAAGAACACGATCAACGGGCCAAAGAAGTGCAGTGTCGTGAATTTCGGTGCCGATGCGAGCCAAACAGAAGACGGCAAATCGTCTATAGTCACCTCGATTTTTAAAATGATCCGAATCTCTCCACATGAGAGGTACCCTTAGATCCGAAAACGAGACTCTTGCAGTACTAACGGGTAAGCTATCAAAAAATAAATAATTTTTTATTTTTCTTAAAAATATTGAAATTAAAAATTACTAAAGAAGAAATTAATCATTAAAATAATTTAAATAATTAATTTAATTAATTCTTGTGGAACATAACAATTTTATTTCTTGCAGGATGATTTACCTTGATTTGCGTCGTTGTAATTCAGCCATATATGCGGACATCCTTTCGTTAGATGTCAAAAGTGCTTTGGCAGCTTCCAAAGATTGCGCACGATGTCGTGAAGCTGCCAAAAGTCTCGTGGATCCTTCTCGCATTTTGATCTCCACTTCGATCTTCTGCTCGAGGTCATACTCCTGAAACAAAAAAAAAATAAAATAAATGAAAACTTTGAACAACAAACATTACTACCGAGAATTATCTCGTCAGAATTGACAAATATTGACATTCTTAAAAAATAAGCGTCACATAATAATGGCTTAAGGTCAAATATTTTTCAAGTTTAATAAAAAGGAAGAATTACAAATTTCAAAATACTTGGGGGAAAAATAACACAAGTTTTTCTTTATTTGGCCATTTCATTAATTGTTTAACATCTTTAAGACCTTTTTTTAAAAACGTTTTTTATTAATTATTAATAATTATTTAAAATCCCCAAAGTCGTAGTCTTAAAAATTCGTATTGAAAATAGTAAAAAAGAAAAAAATTAATAAATTGAATTAAAATTTAATTAGGAAAATTTGTTTTTCCTTTTCAATAAAATAGAAATGGCAAAATGTAAAGAACCGAAATAATTATCGTAATGATGTTAATTTTCTCACTGTTTGATTCAGAGTATCTGCTAGAAGTCGCATCACGATTCAAAAATAGTAACGATGACTAATACTTTTCGAGAAGAAATTTTATTTTTCCCCACGCGCAATTATTGTAATTAAATCACATTATTTTTATAATTAATCTATAATTATAATTTTTAAACGTAAAAAAATATTCACTAAAATCATTAAAACTCATTAAGATAATAAATCAATTTCTTTCAATTGTAAATATCACACTTATAATTGTTCATAATATTTTATAATAATATAATAATTTACAAACAAGAATATAAAATAAAAAAATAGAGTAAATAATGAGATTAAAAAAATATCTAGAAAATAGAGTATTTTTGTTTAATTTAATTTCAATAAAGCAAAACAATGAAGAAAGAAACTATTTATTTAATAACTTTGGACAGCACAAAAAAGACTTAATTTACTCAACATGCCACGAACGACTGAAAAGAAACTTAGCAGTAAATGTACAGCTCAACAACTCATATTGAATAATGCCAAGAAAGAGGGGAATTTACTTTATTCATTTTCATAATCATAAGTGTGACTTTTCCAATTTGTACGATAAATGAATTTGTTTATTAATCATTCGTGATACTGCTTTCTAAAAACAAAGATAATTTATATATATAAATCACCAAAAGAGTGTCTTTGAAAGCAGTTAACGAAAATTAACTACTTAAATTTAAAAAATAATTTAATGAATTAAAAAATTAATTAAATAAAAATAAAACTAATAAATGAAAAGCGGGTTGTAAAATTTAATTTGAATTCTGAATCAGGGTTAAGATAACGTTGATCCCATATATTTTTTTATCAAAGAGAATCACAATTCACAGGAAGTTGGTAGTTTCCTGTCTTGAAAGAAGATAACGTTTAAATCTTTCGAGTTTAGTAGAATTTCGTCCTAATTGCAAAATCTTTTAACTATAATGTTAAATCAGCGAAATTGTCTCTAATGATGACGCGCACTAATTGTCAATTTGAATTTATCACACGTTTTGATTTTTCACTGAAACTGAGAAAAATAAATAATTTATTTATAAAAAGCAAAACTCGAAATTAAAATTATTTTTCATTAATAATTAATTTCGCCAATTATATCTTGATTTTGAATTTCGTTCACTGGAATTTCATTTCAATTTTAGTGCAGGCAAACAAAAATTATTGGTATCGCCATAAAAAAAAGGCAAACAAGTTTTGTGGTTTTACCGCGAATAAAGGTTTCTTTCATATGTAGAGAAAATTTCAATTTTACGTTCTCCCTTCGTAATAAAGAATATCGTAACTCGAGAAAGGTAATAACAAAATTTATCGAGCGTAATAAACTAATATCGCCTACTATAACAATAGGAAACAGGATCAAAGAATAATCTTAGATCAAATTTCAAATCGCTTCGTTACATTTAAATGAGAATTTAAATATGAAAAAAAAATTTTACTATCAATATTTATCGTGAAAATTATATCAAGTATACACATAATACAACAGTCAATCAATCAATTGAATAATAATCGGAATATTGATTAAAAAAAGTGAATACATAATCCTCTGAATTATGGAAATTGGTAAGATAAATAATAAACAAACAAATAAACTTGAAAAAAGTGAAAATAAAATATATTGAATATTAAAATGAATAATGTGAAGAAGAATGATGCAAATTTTTGAAGAAAATAAAAATATGATGAATCATTGCTGTAGATATGAATGCGGGAAATTTTTTTTTTTAACGTCAGTGTTATAATGTATATAATAGCTAGATTGGAGCAGATGCAAGATCCTTATACATACAGGAAGGAAACCCGACGGACGCTAAAACATTATCCACAAGGACTTTTTGTAACAGTGAAATTTAGTATGAGAGCTCGTGCGCGCTTGATAGACGAGAGAGATAAATGGTTCATCACATGCATTTGAAAGAAAGACGGATGTGTTGAGTGCCATTAAAAAAAGACCCACTGCACGTATTATACACAATCTTTTTCAAAATTTACTTCCTTCATTAAAAATAAATAAAAAAAAAAATTAAATAATTAATTTTTTTTTATTAAATAAAAATTAAATTAATTTTTTTATTTAAACAAAATTAAATTTCGAATTATTGACACTTATAATTGAAAAAAATTAAATTTCTTATTTAAATAAATTTTGCCATATCAAGGAAAGGGAAAAAATATTTATAGTAAATTCAACTTCTCTCACATAAAACGTTATCTTAAAAGGTATGAACTTTCCGTTTCGGAATTATCATATTATTGATTCCTTTTCACAATGAAATTAACTTTCAAGAAATTATGTTAATATAATGTGATTCTCCGCGGTTCGGTTCTCAATTTCCATGTCGTAACCGCAGCACAGTAATTACGTTACTCTGCGGGAGTGCATTTACGCATACACTTATAACACAGGTCTGGACTCATGAGGCATAAACTATAAAACACGTGCTTCGCCACACCGTTGAACTTATTTTTTTTTTACTCTCAAAAAACATTAATGCTACATTACTTCTTTGATATCAAATTTGATTACAGGATAATTTTGAAAATAATAATTATTTTTTTTATTATTAGATATCAAAATTTCATTTTTTCCAAAAATAATAAAAATTATTTATCGATAGTTAATGTTGCCTTAGATGTAATTTTTTTTTATTGAGAGTGAGATAAAGAAATAAAATAATTAAGGATTCGGTGTGAGGCTTTAAGCCCACATCCTGGCCAATCTTCGATACGAATACTAAACGTGTCATCAGGTTGAAAAAGGAAGGTGACCAAGAATTTCATGTTATATGTACTATTCTAAACGTAAATATGGTCTCAATGCCACAAACTCGAGCTATAAATAAAGCCTTGAAATTCTAGAATTAAATTCGAAAAAGGTCAAACTAAAATCGAATTTAAAATATTCTATTTTTGCATACAGAAAACTATTAATTTTCGAATTGTTTCAATCAAATTTTGACAAAAACCAAAGTTTTGTTACTTCAACTAAAAATACAAAAATTTTATTAATTTTCCAATTGTCTCAACCAAATTTTGACAAATTCAACCAGATCCCAAAATTTTATTGGTCCAGAAATATTTTAGTGGCTTAAAAATCTTTTAAGGAACATGATTTTTTTAAAAAGCGAACTCTTTTTTTTTTGGACATTGCAGTAGGATCAAAGGCTCAAAAAAAGGGGAAAAAAGAGCACTTGAAGCTTGTTCCAAGTACTCGTTAGATTCTCGTAAGTATTTTGGATAGATTTGCTTTCCAACATCTGGATATAGAAGCCGCGAGAGTAACTATATATATATATATATATTGGCAAAGGTAAAAGTAGATGAGAGAAGCTATATGAGATGCACACGATAGTTTGCAAACGGGAGGATTTCTCTTCTCGCGCTAAAGTCGACTTTGCAATACGATGTTCCATACCGCCGCTATATGCTTGAATCTAATTCGAGAGTTCGTCGACCAGATGAACTTCACGCATAATCCACCCTACACCGTTCGTTACGTTATGTTTGCCAGAGAGTGCAAGACACAAATATTGTAATGCACCTTCTCAAATAAATAAATAATTTCCTCAAAATTTCATTTAATAATTTTTTTTCTTTAAATGAAAAAAATTTATTCAACTCCAATAAATCGATAACTAAATATTTATTTAAACCAAATTCATTCGACTTCTTCCAAAAAAATATTTCCTCTTTTAATATATTAATATTCGTTTCTTTATATTATTCAAATTTGGCGAAATTATTTATAAATTTTATTTTATATCATTTTTGTTGCATATAGATGAAGAATCTGTTAATTTGCTTCTGTCCTGCACATGAAAACTATAAATAAATCAACATAAGTTGTACACATATATGCATAAGAGTATACTATAGTCGCCACTTTACGTATATATACAAAAATATAAAAACAAAATCAGACTTCCTAAATATTTAAACCTTTGACAATTATTTTTATGGGTTTTTATTAATATTAATAATTTATATTTCTAATTATTATTATCATTACTATTATTTTTTTTTATAAATGCAAAAAATTTCCGTATAATGCATTTTTCTTCCGTGTAACAGAAACCATAAAACGAAGCTTTTAATAAAATTAAAACTTAGTTATGAAACCTCCTCTATATTTATGTTAAATCCTTCTTATCTAAATAAAAAAAATTGCATATTTAAGAATATTTTCAAGTTTATAAAAATCATAAATGTTTCGGAATGTATATTTGATACGAAAAAAAAAAACAAAATCGAAATGTTGAAAAAACAATTTCGAGAGCCGAATTTTTCATCAGAAAATTTATAATTTTAGAATAGAAATGTCAAAAAAATGACAACAAAAGAGATTTTGGTTAAACCTGAGCAGGACAATTGGCCGTATATAAATATCAATCATGAATATCTGGTAGAAAGTGCTTGGCAAAAATTTAATCGAAAATGTCTAACTCCGATTATACCTCTCGGTAAATATTTTTGAAAATTTAGTTAATTTACAACAAATTAAAAAAATTTTTTGATTA